TTTATATGTTATTCAATATTACCGATAAAGATGCTAACCATGCTAATGTCCACGCTAATGCTACTATTACTACTACTACACTACTACTACTACTACTATTGGTCTACTGGTGATGCTAATGCTAATGCTAATGGTGATGCCAATGCTAATGCTAACGTTAATTGTTATGTTAAAGCTAATGTTAATGGTGATGTCAATGGTGATGCCAATGGTGATGCCAATGGTGATGCTAATGCTAATGCTAATGTTAATGGTGATGTCAATGGTGATGCCAATGGTGATGCTAATGCTAATGCTAATGCTAATGTTAGTGTTAAAGCTAATGTTAATGGTGATGTCAATGGTGATGCTAATGCTAATGCTAATGCTAATGTTAATGTTAAAGCTAATGTTAATGGTGATGTCAAAGGGTGATGCTAATGCTAATGCTAATGCTAATGCTAATGCTAATGCTAATGTTAATGTTAAAGCTAATGTTAATGGTGATGTCAATGGTGATGCTAATGCTAATGCTAATGCTAACTTAATGGGTTTTTGGGTCTCCACTCACACAGCGGTGTCTCTGACACCAGCTGGACACGCTCAATGAAGGGCAAGTTCTTATTCCCAAGTTTTGCGCAAAGTTAGATCTAGAGCTCTACCATTTGGACAGGTCATAGCCTGTGTCGCTGGGATAGCGGGAAAAATAGGGGCCAGTTCTAATTCCCACACTTTTGCGCAAAGTTGCTGCTAGAGCTCTACAATTTCGACAGGTCATAGCCTGCGTCGTTGCGATACCTGGGAAAATACTAATAACTTTGTATCTTTTGAAACGGCCCTACAATCGGTGAATGAATTTTGAATTTTGGCGGACCTTGCTGCAGCTCATATATGTGACTCGTCACATGAAGGGCTTTCCAACGATACCTCTATCATCGCTCTACGACCTCGTTTGGCCGAGTTATAACACTTAACGAGGGGAGCGGTTTCAAACGGTTGTCGCCCCCTAGCTCCGCGGTGGAACATGGCAGGGACAAAAGCCGTACACCGTTGCGTTCGGCTGGCCGAGCCGGTTCCGTAGAGGTCTGATTTGTGCCTGTGCGACCTTCGGAACAGGTTTTGGCCTTTGATTGCCTAGCTTTTTAGGGTAGGGTAAGGGTATACGGTCCTGAGACCGTCTTTAGCTTCTGGTCCAAAAACGGTCACTCGGACTTCCGAAGGGGTTAGACGCCTGAATTTTGGATATGTGGTAGAGGGCCACGAGACGAGTCCAACGGTGTAGGGTAGACCTCCGGGGGCCTTACGGTTCTCGGTGGGCGGGCCTTCGTTCGGTAAAAAATCTCACGCTAATTAAGCTCGTCACGGCTTCAAATTTAATGGAAACGAGTCCAAATTCGGCACACGCCCATTTCAACCCCGTCCGACCGAGAATCTAAAGTTTCAACCCACTCGGACACTCGGTTGGCTACTTTGCTTCCTATTGGTCGGTTTGAGCGGGCGCCTACATATTCGAGCTCAGAATAGCCTGCTGTGTAACATAGTCAAAAATGAGGCTGGTAGTCCAAAGTTGAAATGTTGGTACACCTCCCCTTTAAGGTTAGGCTTTTGAAGGCCCAAAAAGTGCTTGGAGGCTTGTTAAAAGTTCAAATTTCATCCAAACTAGTCGAAACTTGGTACGCACCCTTCTACGTACAGGCTGAACATTAATCCAAAGTTTCAACTGGCTCGGCCACCCGCTTTTTAAAAGAGGAGGGTCTCGGTGGCCAGGAAAATCCAGGAAAGTCCTGATTTTGGTTGGAGGACAGCGCCACCTTGCTGCAGCTCATATATGTGACTCGTCACATCTAGGGCTTTCCAAGGACACCTCCGTTATCGTTGTACGACCTCGTTTGGCCGAGTAATTAGACTTAACGAGGCGCATTTTTTAAAAAAATCGTCGCCCCCTAGCGCCGCGGCTGAACATTGCAGGGTCAAAAGCTTTACACCGTTGCGTTCAGCTGGCCGAGCCGATTCCGTAGAGGTGTGGTTTGTGCCTGTGCGACCTTCGGAACAGATTCCCTTAAATCCTAATCATGACCCGAGTCAATATCCAACATAATGTGGGTCCGCTGTTGGTAGAGTGGTTAAGGTGAAGGGATGGAGATCCAATGCTCGCGGGTTCGAATCCTGCTGATGCCATTTATATTATTATTGTAAAATTAGAGATCCAGTGGTCAGTGGACTCTAAATGTATTTGAAAATGACTAAGAAGGAATTTCTGTTTTTTTAGTAGTCTACTGCTAATGCTAATGCTACTGATACTGCTACTATCACTACTACTACTACTACTACTAGTCTACTACTAATGCTAATGCTAATGCTAATTAGCATTAGCATAACAAACACTCTCCTTTCTCCTTGTCTCCTCTCCTCTCTCCTTGTCTCCTCCTTGTTGACTCTCCTTGTTTTCTCTCCTCTCTCCTTGTCTCCTCCTCTCCTTGTCTCCTCCTCTCTCCTTGTCTCCTCCTCTCTCCTTGTCTCCTCCTCTCTCCTTGTCTCCTCCTCTCTCCTTGTCACCTCTCCTCTCTCCTTGTTTTCTCTCCTCTCTCCTTGTCTCCTCCTTGTTGACTCTCCTTGTTTTCTCTCCTCTCTCCTTGTCTCCTCCTCTCCTTGTCTCCTCCTCTCTCCTTGTCACCTCTCCTCTCTCCTTGTTTTTCTCTCCTCTCTCCTTGTCTCCTCCTTGTTGACTCTCCTTGTTTTCTCCCCTCCTTGTCTCCTCTCTCCTTGTCTCCTCCTCTCCTTGTCTCCTCCTCTCTCCTTGTCTCCTCCTCTCTCCTTGTCACCTCTCCTCTCTCCTTGTCTCCTCTCCTCTCTCCTTGCCTAGTTTGCTGTGCAGTTTACAGATGTTGTGATTTGTTTTCCATACATCTTGTGGTATTTTCAGAAAACAAGTTAATAAAAGAGAATGGTTACATCTATATAACACTTTTCTACCTTTGTTAGACACTCAAAGCGCTTAAATCAAGGATCCACTCATCCATGCTCTCATTCATGCACCAAAATGTGCATTAAGCAGTGGGCTGAATCTTATACCTCATTAGTTTTAGTTCATAGTGATACTATCAATTCAACATAATTTCATGATTATGCAGAAAATAATATGCACATGTTGCTAAGAATAATAATAAAAAAGATATATTATTTAAACTTTGTTTATTAGTCTTAGGTGCACAGATCATTAATCAATACATAATTACAGTAAATAGTCAAGATGGAGATACACTCAATTCAATACGAAGTTAATAAAAATATGATACCCATCTTTCTTAAAATTCAGCTTACTTATGAATGTTATTAATGTTTACCTTCTTCAGCAGGATCTTTTCATCAAAATGAAAAGCTTTCATATACATTTGTAATAGTTCTGTTCATGTGTGAAGAAAGGTCCCCACTAGGCATCACTAAAACAAGGTTTTTTTAATAGTGACACCCGCTGGTGGTTTATGGTATGAGGTCCCCAGGAGAATAGAAAAATCGGACAAAAAAAATAAAAATGAATTGTGATGATTAACATGATTTCAGGAAGACCACAGTCCAAAAAAATTATCTGTCTTTATATCATTTTTTTATGACTTAAGACATGCCTTAAATTCTTGTTCAAAGTGAGGACCCCACGCGGTAGGTCCTAAACACACCAAAAAATTTGGTCCTCACCATGTAGCAAAAACATGTGTGTGTGTATATGTGTGTGTATATGTGTGTGTATGTGTATGTGTATGTGTATGTGTGTGTGTGTGTGTGTGTGTGTGTGTGTGTGTGTGTGTGTGTGTGTGTGTGTGTGTGTGTGTGTGTGTGTGTGTGTGTGTGTGTGTGTGTGTGTGTGTGTGTGTGTGTGTGTGTGTGTGTGTTACAGACCCGCTCGTCACACCGTGCACATAGGGCTTAAAATAGCGTTATTAAGAGACCTGCCCTCTCCCCGTTTCCCGTCTGCTGTAATAAGTTACTGTACATGTGATATGGTACAGTACTGTACTCACTGTAGATAGAGTCTGCAGTAGAGTTGAAGACATGTTTCCATCTGAAGGTCCTGATGATGGAGGTGTGGCTGGACCAAAGTTGCTCTTATCTCATCAGAAATATCTTCAACCACGTCTTCCTCTACCTCTTGCTCTTCGTACCTCCATACTTGCAAAGTTCTGAAAATGACTAAACTGAGGACTGTTTATGTCCAGGGTTTTCTGTCACAATGTGTTTGGTGTTTTGAACAGATGTTTTTCCACAACACAGGATTGCATTTATGAACAAAGTGTCTTATGACTGTGTGCAGTGTGCAGGAGAAAGTGTGTTGCTGAAATGAGAGTACAGTGCAAAGCAGTACTTTTGTTAAAGGGATATTTAGACTGTTTTAGGTTTAGAACAAAAGGTGTTGTGTTCAAGCAAAAGGAAAAAACCCTGTCATTGCCTGATAATCAAACCAACCTCTTTTACTCATCACTTTATCTCCAAAGACGTAGCATCCTTAAATAGAATTTCTTCCATTTTGATGCATGGACTACACGCATTGAAGCAAGGTCTAATAAATTAGAATTCACAATATGGATTATCAAAATGTCACATACTTAAGAAACAATTTAAGACAATGCATTACAGTACCTTGCGAAAGTATTGAACCTTTCAACATTTTGCCACATTTCAGGCTTCAAACATAAAGATATAACATTTTAATTTTTTGTCATGAATCAACAACAAGTGGGACACAATTGTGAAGTGGAACGAAATTTATTGGATAATTTAAACTTTAACAAATAAAAAACTGAAAAGTGGGGCGTGCAATATTATTCGGCCCCTTTACTTTCAGTGCAGCAAACTCACTCCAGAAGTTCAGTGAGGATCTTTGAATGATCCAATGTTGTCCTAAATGACTGATGATGATAAATAGAATGCACCTGTGTGTAATCAAGTCTCCGTATAAATGCACCTGCTCTTTGATAGTCTCAGGGTTCTGTTTAAAGCGCAGAGAGAACCATGAAGACAAAGGAACACACCAGGCAGGTCCGAGATACTGTTGTGGAGAAGTCTAAAGCCGGATTTGGATACAAAAAGATTTCCCAAGCTTTAAACATCTCAAGGAGCACTGTGCAAGCAATTATATTGAAATGGAAGGAGTATCAGACCACTGCAAATCTACCAAGACCCGGCCGTCCCTCCAAACTTTAATCTCAAACAGGGAGAAGACTGATCAGAGATGCAGACAAGAGGCCCATGATCACTCTGGATGAACTGCAGATAACTACAGCTGAGGTGGGAGTCTGTCCATAGGACAACAATCAGTCGTGCACTGCACAAATCTGGCCTTTATGGAAGAGTGGCAAGAAGAAAGCCATTTCTCAAAGATATCCATAAAAGTCTTGTTTAAAGTTTGCCACAAGCCACCTGGGAGACACACCAAACATGTGGAAGAAGGTGCTCTGGTCAGATGAAACCAAAATCAAACTTTTTGGCCACAATGCAAAACGATATGTTTGGCGTAAAAGCAACACAGCTCATCACCCTGAACACACCATCCCCACTGTCAAACATGGTGGTGGCAGCATCATGCTTTGGGCCTGCTTTTCTTCAGCAGGGACAGGGAAGATGGCTAAAATTGATGGGAAGATGGATGGAGCCAAATACAGGACCATTCTGGAAGAAAACTTGTTGGAGTTGCAAAAGACCTGAGACTGGGACGGAGATTTATCTTCCAACAGGACAATGATCCAAAACAAAAAGCCAAATCTACAACGGAATGGTTCACAAATAGACGTATCCAGGTGTTAGAATGGCCAAGTCAAAGTCCAGACCTGAATCCAATCGAGAATCTGTGGAAAGAGCTGAAGACTGCTGTTCACAAACGCTCTCCATCCAACCTCACTGAGCTCGAGCTGTTTTTCAAGGCAAAATGGGCAGGAATTCCAGTCTCTTGATGCGCAAAACTGATACATACCCCAAGCGACTTGCAGCTGTAATTGCAGCAAAATGTGGCACTACAAAGTATTAGCGCAAGGGGGCCGAATAATATTGCACGCCCCACTTTTCAGTTTTTTATTTGTAAAAAAAGTTTAAATTATCCAATAAATTTCGTTCCACTTCACGATTGTCCCACTTGTTGATTCTTGACAAAAAATTTCATGTTTATATCTTTGTTTGAAGCCTGAAATGTGGCGAAATGTTGAAAGGTTCAAGGGGGCCGAATACTTTCGCAAGGCACTGTATGTATTCTTGATATTTTCAGTATTACACTTTCATTTTCAGAGCAGATTTTCATTAACAAGTAGAAAATGTTGCATTGATTCTATTTAGATATATTTTATTGATCCCACGTAGGAAAAAGTCAGGTGTCCAGCAGAAGACTCATCCAGGTCTCGTAAAGTCTGATAGCCGACGGAACAAAGGATCTCTTTGACCCTGCATGTAAAAACCTGAATAACAATGGTTATTCCATTAATGCAAATACAGTAGGGGATTTTTAGGGGAGATCTGTGAATAATTGATATATCACCCTACATTTCAGGTTTGCGTTTTCACAGAAGAAACTTTGAAAACAATTCTTAAAGTGGAAGTAATGTAACTGAAATCCTCAGTAAAGCAAAATGAACATGTTTGAACTTTTAATACACATGTAAAAAATAATTTCCCCAATTCACATTAACAATGACAAAGTATTCTTCCTGCTCCCAGTTACAGAAAAAGGAAATGGCTGAAAAGACTAAAATATTTTTTTCTTTTTAGATTCTGTCATGTCCATAACAGTCAGTGTGAATAATGCAAGAATCCCCAATGGAAGTGAAGTAGACACTGGTATAAAATGTGTTTACAGTTTCTGTTTCTTTTTTGCTGGTTTTATGGGGCTCAGATTTTCATCATCTTCAAACTCATCATCATCTCCAGACAGGTCTGACTCTTCTTGTGAGGCTGTGAACAAAAATAAAAACATTTATCAAGTTAAAAACCTGGGATATCATGTGTAGCATGGGTTCCTTGGATTTAAACTTAATTTCAAAATTAATCCAAGCTAAATAATAATTATATAAAATTATTTGACAAAGTGAACAGAAATATAAGTTTATAGAATGTGGTTATCAAAATGAAAACAAAACATTTCAGTAGAGCCGCTGCTTCTCCACGTCGAGAGGAACCATTTGAGGTGGCTCAGGCAACTGTTCTGGATGCCTCCTGGACGCCTCCCTGGGCATGACCCACGGTGAGGAGGCCCTGGGGTAGACTCAGGACACGCTGGAGGGACTATGTCTCTCAGCTGGCCTGGGAACGCCTTGGGGTCCCCCCGGACAAGCTGGAGGAAGTGTGTGTTGATAGGGAAATTGTCTCTGCTTATGCCGCGTTCAGACCGGACTTTCAATGCAAAGTCAATGGTGACACGCGTTAGAGCGTCAAAACGCACAGACCGCTCAGTAGAGACGCACGGACTTGGCGGGAAAGTGAAAAGGGAGGAGCAGGAGTGAAAAATCAACGCCCACAGGAGATGGATTCTGCTCATCCTTTCCTTGCGACGTTCGTGCGACAACCAATCAGAGAGCAGCAAAGTGGTCACGGGGACATTAGCGGACTGAGCGAGCAGACTGAAAATACTCATAAACAGCCAAAACAGGACCCACACCAGACTTCACCAGAACTCAAACCAGGGTTGACAATGGGGGACTCTGTGCTTGTGAAAATATGCGTTGTCATACTCCCGTGACCTAATGCAACTGCTTCGAGTTTGTTCACTGATGCGGAAATCCATCCATCCATCCATTTTCTTCCACTTAATCCATTTCTGGGTCGGGGGGGTGGCAGTTAGAGCTGCACCCAGTACACAGAGCACCAGCCCCTCACTGATCCTCCTGCAGGGGGTGAGTCCACAGGGAGCAGAGATCTTTCAGTTGGGGCTTTGGGCAAAGTGGGGTTAAGTGTCTTGGCCAAGGACACAACGACAGCAGTCATCAGTGGGAGTCATGAAGTAGGTCTTACGGTGGGCTCGAACCCACGACCTTCAGGCCCAAAGGCCAATGCTCTACCAACTGAGCTACTGTCGCCCTCGATGCGGAAATTCCGTTTAATAATACAAAAAACGTATGGCGCACCTTCGTGAACACATACTACTGTTGTATAAAGTCCGTGGAAGGTCTCTGATAAAAGACACGCTGCAAAGCTGCATATTGGAGAAGATCTGTACACAAGAAGCCGCTAGCATAGCTCTGTTAGCATTAGAGCCGGCCGGCTACTACTAGACCCCTGCGTCTGAAAACTAGAGAATGCGCGTCTGGTGAGCGGGGCTTCAGTGTTTGAGCGTTTGCGGTCTGAATGCACCAATAGACTGCTGCCCCTGTGACCCGGCAACGGATGAAGCGGAATATAGATGGATGGATGGGTTTTTGCTCTAAACCTGTCAGAAAATGTGTGCTGTGTAATGCAATACTGCAATTTATCCACTGTGAGGAAAATTAAAGGTTTATTGTCTTATCCTGAATAATACTTACAGATGAGGTGCAGTCCACTGATATTTACTGGGCCAGATCCTGCCTTGAGTCGGATGGTTACAGGAGCTTTCAGTTCAAACTCGCCCAAACTTACCTAAGTGCATACATTTTTATGGTATGTTAGAATGCATCCAATTGTGAGAAAACATTGCGCATCAGAGAAATATAGTAAAGATGGTCACACAAACCACTGTTGTGTGATACATAATATAATACGTCTTACCATCGGGAGACAATTTATGTGAAGGTTGGCTACAGGTACAGAGATGGTCTTTCCTTGATGGTTCATCGCCGTCACCTCCACCACATTGCTTTCCTCTTTTGCACCTTCTCCTAAACACACCTTTAAAACATTGTAGTAATTTCATATTAGATTCAATGACCATCCATTGTTTTTCTCAACCCTCAGTTTTAGCACTTTCAAGGCACCTGGTTTGTGTTTGGTTTGGAGAACACTGAATAGTCCCCCATTGCGACACCTGGTATTCTAAAGTCTTTAGGCAGGAGGGCAATTCATCAACATTGCTTCTAGGTAATCGGCTGTGAGAAAGCGGTTGCGGGCCGATGCCAGAGATTGTTTTCTCTTAAAGTGGGGTCGAACAAAGAATGAATGATAGATTTCTGGAGGCTACAAGTTATACCTTGCAGGAAATTACATTAACATTATAAATAACAGAGCTGTAATCAGTTTCTTGTTATAATCGATTATTCTTTCCATTAATCAGTTGTTTAGCTCTCAAAAGGTTAGTGCATATGGGATTTTTCCTTTTATACATTGACAAATACATATATACATTGATGCCCCTGGAGAACGAGCTGAATTGTTGCACATTGGGTTGTTTGATCAAAAAACTTTGTAAACAGTTTTATTTCATCCTGAGTCATAACAGAGTCATATAACATATTTTCAGCATGTTTAATTATATAGGGTTGGAAAAAACGATTAAATAAATAGAGTAGCGACTGTTCGATTAACTACCCTGATAATCCTGATTGACAAATCCTCAATCAAATAAGTAAATCACATCTTAGTCTAAGACAAAAGCAAACAAAAACTACACCATAGTGTTTCAAATTGTTGATCATTGAGAGCAAAATTAGGTTTTCAAGGTAGCAAACAACCAAAATCCACTAAAATGCCATGGGTTGTTGTTGTAAAGATTTTAGTGGAAACCCAGTAACGGGGGAAGAATGAAGTACGGGATGTACATACTGTTCTAAACTCGAGGAAATGCTCCGTGTCATCCTCATCATCTCCTTGGAAAGTAAAAAACGGGACTTTGGACGACAGCTCACAGCCTGAGACAAAACATATACCAGAATTGAATAAATAATTCATTTACAGAACGCAGTGATGTATGGCCCAGAGATAACAGAGGGACCCACGTGTGCGCCAGAAGAGCTCCAGACTTTAATCATGACTCACTGAAAAGAAAGCGCTCCATCGTGGACGGTCCACTCAGACCGAGCTCCGACGACTCGGTCTCTTCGAAAGACATGTTTAAGGAAAAGTTGAGTGAAAACTAAACCAAATAAAATGAAGCGTGAAGAAAAATAAACTCCGTCGACAAACACCTACGTCAGTCTTACGTCATAATACCGCGACCACCGGGTGACATCTGATCATCTGATTTCCTACAAAATAATGTATCCCCTTCTAATTTTTATTCACCGCTATGGTATATCATACTAGATACAAATGACAAGAATTTATTTGCCATTTGAAATAAAACCACATTGGAAAAACTGTGCAAGACTCATTCATAATGTTTAACATTTCACTTAATGTAATCTAAGGCTACACGTCTCATTAAGGTAAACGGAGTGTATTCATGATTAACTATTTGGATGCAAGCAGACTAATGCATCGGTTTTATATACATGGCAGGTGGTGTTTTCAGCAGCCACATCTGCCCTAGGGCAGACTGACAGAGGTGAAACAACCATTGACCCCCGACCACCACAAAACATTCACAAACACCCCAGACGCAATGTCTTGCCTAAGGATCAGTTGTTTTTCCTTTTGTAACCAGTCACCCCGCTATAGCATCTGGTGCATAGATCTTAAGCTGGTGTTTCCAGAGGTGTCCGTCACAATACAGTGGATCAGACTTTCATTGCAGGTGACACGACGACTGCAAACCATAGTATTTCTATTATCAATGAGGATTACAATGGAATGGTATTATTCATTAATTGGGGTTATAATAATCATTAGAAACAGTGCACTGCTGGGTGTGAATTTAGGAATTCTGTACTTACAGAAAACTAACCAATCAAAAAACACACACAAAACCATGCGTTTGTTTTCACTCTTATTTATCTTACATAAATTTGACAATAGTTAGTGTAATTACCCCCCACTGCCCAGACTGAAAACTGCTCATTCACATAACTGAGCCCTATCAAACCCATCAAGCAGAGTATGAGAAAATTGAAGGAAAAAAAAGTGAAAAGGATCAGATTCAAAATATTTCAGTCCTTATCAACGCACAAGATAGACACAGGTTTTGAATAAAAGTATAAAAATAATAATACTTTGTTTGACAGCATTTACAAATAGTGTATAATATAGTACATTTTATGCACATAGAGGCAAGTGGCATGCTTATTTCACTTGTTATTTTGATTCTATCCAACAGAAGAGAATTAATGACACATATGCTTCATGCACATAATACATCACATCGGCAGGTAACTACTGAAGAGAAAGTGAAAATCCTTAAACAAATGAGACACTGTGGGCAAAGTGCTTTTTGATAATCATCAACATAACTATACAATGGAGTAAACTGAATAAAAAGCCAACAATTGCTTGGCCCACACACCAAGTGCAACAATCAGCGCTGCTTTGGTGACCTTGTTGACGTAACCTTGTTGTTCTTAAGAGCGCTTGTTACAGTTTGAGAAGAATCATAAAAGGGACAAGATGAAAACCAAAGAACCATGCCAATATCTACAAGGGTTGATAGTGGCAAACACACCATATCAATTTTAAATCAGGTGAAATTTAAAAAGAAGATTCTTGGACCCTGTTAAAGCGAGAATTTAGAATGTTCAATGCAATATTTTAAGATGGCAATAAATAAATCAAAACAAATTTGAAAGCTCTATGAGTTTTCAAACTGTCCCATTATGTTGTCTTTAATATAACAGAATATCAAGGCAAAACGCAAAGGCAAAGACTATTGCTAGTAATAAAAAAAGGCAAAATATACAAAGCAAAGCGGCAAACCCATTATGTCTTCATTTAGGCATTTCTTTCAGAATAGTTTGCTGCAACAATCTATTTTGAAAATGCTTTAATCTTCCTTTTCCCCCCAATACCAGATATAACTTGCCTCCTTCAGACAGGTTTACTTTGCACAAAGAGAACTCCTATTATAATGACTGTAATAAGTAAGTAGGCAAGACAGGTGCACTGAGCTACTCTCAACAAAAGGTAACCTGCAAAAAAATCCAAGCCACACTTGATTCTTTGAATTCATATGAACCGTGTTGAACCGACAGAGTCACAACCACATGGAATGTGCACACTGTGACGGCTCACTGTGCTTAAGGACACAAATCGGGTTTGGATAGTTGTTTGTAATGTCATATATGGTTCACTTCAGCAGGATACTCCATCTCGACATAGTCATTATAAACTGCGGCCCATAATGATGATATCCTTGGGAAAGCCATCCATGTTTGCTACTTCAAAACATCCAAGTTTACTGTAAAACTCCAACATTCTTTTATCAGACTGGCGAACTTTGCAAAAAGCTCCATGAGACCCTAAAAATAGAAGAAATATTAAATACAACCAACATGGTTAGATTGAGAAACACATGGTAGCAATACCTACCATTTGCCTTCAGAGAGGATAATAGACATCCCATCATGCTTTTAGCTACACTGGGGTCTGTGACCTTAGCATGAATGTCAACTTTGATAAGTGAAGGAAAGTTGGACAGAAATGATTCGGGAAGACCTTCATCTTCTTCATGGAAACTTAACATCATCTTCTACAAAATGAAAAAAGACAAAACATTTCCAATGGTTCAAAAGGAAAAAAAATATTGGCCAATAAATCGGTCCTACCTCCGCTTCAGTCAGGTCCTTTTCACAGTCTGGTTTGAGGTACTTTTCCTGCATGAACGGAAGCCAACTCATCTTGCAATTCTTCACAAATGGCTTAACATCTACTGTGCCAAGTGCATATCCGCAGACACCTTCATCATCTTCTAGCACAAATCCATAGTCTGAACTCAAGGTGAGGAGACCACCTACTAATCTGTAAGAAAACTAGAGTCATTGCTTTGGACTGATATTGAGTTTAGAGATGGTGATGGGATAAAGAGTATTCTTTACCTGTCACCAATGAGGTCTGGCTCCTGATCAGAGAAAGGATCATTCATTCCCTCAAAATACATTTCTTTGCAGATCTTATAAACTTCTGCCTAAGAAGACATTAGGCATAGGTGTATAATACAAAAAGATACATAGCTTGTGTAATAACTAATGTTGTAAAAATGCGAGTATATAAAATGTGATAGAAGACATTTTTCATAATTCAAAAGAGAATTAAAGAATAACAATTGATTCTCAAAATGTGGTGGTTAAAATGATAGCTGTATTATATGTTATTTGATAATGATCCTGAAAGTTTGAGGCCACACTTTTTCCATGCATAATTTATGTATAGAATAGAAATACTAAGAACATGGATGTAAATATGTCTTACCTCATCTTTGGGGTAGTATGGTCTTATGGAATAAATTTTGGAGGTTGGAAGAGAAGGTGGAGGCTGGTAGAAGAGATCATTTGCCCCATCTATTGGCAACAATCTCTGTGGATAAAAAGGAAAACAATTAGTTTCTCTATTGTATCTTTCGTTGACTTCATGAATTTGTCATAATTGTTCCACTATTAAAAAAAAAGGAACAGTGCTAAACGCACCTCATACATTAATAGGATACTTTAAATCAACAAACTAAACCTAGTCCTTGTTCATTTGATAGTGGACAACAAGCAAACTCTTCCCCAATTGAGTTTTAGATCATGTTTACACATAGCACATGAAATTGCTTTACAAATTCGGCAATTAATGGGTTCTACTTTGGTCTGACTAAGGTTTTACTGACTGAAGGAGATGCTTCTGTCCCTTTAATGAGGCATCGCATTTTTTCGCTGCGCAAAGCCCTGTTGAGAAAAATAATGAAGCATGCGCAGAGTGGACAACTCCAAGGAAACAAAAACAAATGCCAAAGCAAAATATATCATTTCTCCAGACAATGCGAGTCTGGTTGCTCTTCAAAGCTGGAGCCACAGCAAGATTTGATCCTGGAGTTTTCACATAAAACATGCTTGCGTACCGCTTGCGCTGCGATGCTGCCGCTTGCGCTTACAAAGAGTAGTTCTGGTAATCTGTTTGCTTTCCTGCAAAGAAATGACTTGTCATCATAATAAACCTAGTCATGCTCGCTTGCGCCGCTTGCGCTTGGAAAAGCAGCATCTCCTTGGTCAGTTTCTGAAACTGAAAACATGAATGTAAAGATACAAATAGGAAGGAAATCAGCTGTTTCAATGAACAGATTTCCATGTTGTACTTTTTTGCACTTAATACTACGATGGAGGCATAACCAAGCACAGGAGGAATAGTTTACAATCCAAATGTGAATCCTAAATGAACTGCTAAAACGTCAGCACACCTTTGACAGACCAAACCCTTTTATGCTTGCACTTGCAAATAATACCAACATTACCACTTTGCTGATAGCACACTATGGTTTTCATAGCTGTGACTTTGGTGCATTAGATACCTGGAACTCTCCTGCTAGACCTCCCCTAAAGGCCCAGGGCTCTTGATCTCCTTTAAGGAATTGTGCTGAGGACTGACTACGACACCCTGTTAGGAGCAGAGCCAAGCGGAGATTGTTACCACAGAGTTGGGCTCTCTGATACAGATGAGAAAATGAATAATGGGGCGAAGGGTCAAATGCGTCTAACTCCATGTATTTTACTATTACTCCAAACCAATAAACATTCTCGGGATAGACAACATTTAAAAACATCATCATCAAAATTTAAGGGGTTTCAAGCAACAAAAGCTTACAAATATAAACCTTGAAGCCACGTTATTTATCCTGATCAACTATTGGGAGGTGGAGTTTTAAGACTTTACAACAACCCAACAACAACACTGCTAAGTATTCAGCGCAATAGCAATATATGATATCAACCGGTAACCATTTAAAGCCACATTGGTTTAAAAAGTAAGCTTCAGCTGCCGTCACCCCCCCCTTGAAATTTTATATTTACAAAACCTGCCTTGATGTCACATGACTTAGCATGAGTCGCCAGGACCAAAGAGAGGATTACTATCAATGCCATTTAATGGGTCTCTCAAGATTAAAATTCAAAGCTGACCATAAATCAAAACGTGCACCTGAACAATTGTAACCCATTTCAGACCAAATATAGGATCTCCGAGCTTGCTCCTATCAAACTAATGATAAACCCATGTGACCAGACCAATGCAGAGTTCAGGTAAAAATAAATCCAGGACATCACAGCCTAAAGATGCACCTACAAGAAGGAACTCTGTACTCTCCCAGCAAAAAGAGTCCACTCATGAATGTGACCCTCATCCTTTTGAGTTCTACGATTTATATTACATCACAGCTCAGTTTTGTTATTCTCTGTGGCACCACAGACTGTATATTACAAATATTGGATGGCACATTTTTTAAGTCAAGTGCAAATTTCCCTAAATAGGTGCATCAAGCTGGAATGAGTATTTCTACAAGCCTACTGACAAAAAAAAATGTTAGAAAGAGAAGATTTTGTTATGTTTTCTTTAAGATATCTGCACCTAAATCGCTGCGCAACATATGACTTCAGTCAGAGGTTCCATAATTAATAATATTAATTTAGCTTGTTTTTAAAAAACAAAATTTAGGGACAATACATTTAAAGCGACAAGAATAAAAAGAACAAAGACAACGCTAGAAATTTCAGATCCCAACAGTCGATCCAACAGCAGTAGAAACTTGCTTTTTGGATTCTTCCATCTGTATATAGTAAGGGGAGAAAACAATAGAAATATTTATTAGTATGTATTCTTTGTACAGGATGTGACTGAGTGCCATCTGCAAAGCTTTAATTTAGGGAAAATATGATGTGGTGTATGATTTAAATAGATATTAAAAATACATGTATGTTTTAACATGCATTACATTTTATTTTGCGTTGTCCACGTAGATGTGCTGCCTGCTGTGTACTGTGGCTAAAATCCTCATACTTAGCCGGAGAGGACAGAAACCTGTGAATAAACTGGGTTACAGAGAGTAACCAACAGACCATGCTGGTGCTTCAAAGTGTAAAATATTTGATGGTCTACTTTAATACTTTATACTTGAACTGTGTCTTGTTGCCTCTAAGAAGATGTCAAATAAGTGAGAGTGAAGAAAGAGTAAGCATGAAAGGGGAATGATGTACACTATGGCACAGTTCAAGAAACCCCCAATCAGAAAAATATTTCTTATGCACCAGAATGGCCTCTTGTAGTGAATCAGTCACTCAACTTGCTCGCCAAGCTCGCGTGCGCGGCAGGGCATGGAGGAGAGCCCCTTCTCCCAGTGCCCATCCCACAGACAGTGTGGGAATTCAACATGTTACTGGATACACAGCAAGCAGCAGCACCATGCTTAAGTGTTTGCATATGAACAGTATGGATTAATTATGCCATACAAATGGCATTCAGTCCAATGTAAAAGACGTTAGACATAATAAACACAGAAATACCATGACTGGACTGACATGAGACCTTTTGTTCGTTTCTATGGTACAATAATTCAATTGTGATTTAAAAGCAAGTGGGATTTACATTTCACCAAGAAATGTATTTTCATTCTGAGTTGCGCCACCATTATGCATTATATAGGCATCATGTGGAGAATGTGAGCCAGGTAATCAATTACCTACATATTTTCGCTAAACTAGCATGTGAAATACATGCATAAATTTAGTTCAGATTGAATATCAAACTACCAAGTGCCATCTATTGTCATGGTAAAATGACTGATGGTATAGTGTCCTTATACATACCTAACCACTGGACAAAAGACTTCACCATAGAAATAATGCTCTTGACGTCCCAGATGTATGGGTAGAGGTCATAGAGGATAGTTCTGTTGGCTGTATTTGATAGGCGGGTAAACATATGCATGACGGAGCCGCACATCTTCTCGAATTTCTCAGCTCTTGTATTCCATTCCGTCACCTATAAAACACAATTAGAGTTTAAAAATGTCCATGCCTTTTCTTAAAAAAATAAAATACACACAATGAGACATATATTTGTCACATGGCATAGACGATGCAACCACTCCACCTGGTGGATAAAAATGGTAGTACATATCCACCATTTTGTGGGAATGAAATCAGAAACGAGGAAAATATATTCACCTTGTCATCATCTTTTCTTTTACAATTGACACTAACTACACTGCTGTTGGCTCGGAGCCAGTTGAACTCTTTCAGCATTTGCAAGGCTTTGGGTCCATGTTCGTATGGAAGGTAAAACAGTTCTGCCAACAATCCAAGATCTTCAATTGTTATAGGCTCTGCAGTAAATAATGGCTTCTCATTGGGACCAGGCACAAAAACATCCTGTAAAAAAAAAAAAAAATGTTAAAAAGTAATTCAGATGTTTTTGTGCACTTCAATTGTGGTTTTAAATTACAAATAACAACACCTGTTTAAGCTGTTCATCTGTCTGCATAGGAGCAATCTCACTTCCAGAATCCTCCTGGATCGACTCTTCGGGGGACTTTGACTCATTGAGGCTTTCCTTGTCAGTATCCATTGGCTTCAGGTCCTCTGCCATTTTCTCATTCTGAATAGGACAAACCTGCTTATCCTCTGAGTCTGTCTCAGGTGCCGCATCATCCTGCTTCTCAACTACCATTTCCATAGGCTCTTCCTCAGGCTCCTTTTTCTCTGTCTCCACCTAGGGGCACATGCAAATCAATTTAAACGTATGTACAGTTAGTATAAGGGACTCTTCAAATATGTATTTACCTCCACTTCATCTTCAGTCTGTTTTGTCATAGGAAGGATCTGTGAATCCAAACACAAAGGGGGGATCGCTGGAGACATGATTGGCTCTTGGAAGACCGTTGTAACTGATGTAGATGAGCATAGGGATGGAGCCGCCAATGAAGATATGTCTATAGTTGTACTTTTCGCGCCACTCTGGGGTACTTGGCGACCTGAGTAAATACAAATGATTTTTTTTAGAAACATTGAATATGTAATAGATAATACAGCAATAGTTATAAAAGCACTTACTATTATATTGATGTGGCACACGAAATTCTCCAAGCCATTCTGTAAGAGCCAGTTTTAAAGCCATCTGTGGACTGTAAAGCACGTCTATCTCTAATTCTTCATCACTTCCTTCATTCTCCAATTTGATTTGGATAGAAACTGTGCTGTCTTCGCCATCAGCTTGAGATAAACAAAAAATGTTATTCATCACATAAACCTTTGCTTCCATATATTGTTAGAATAAATATCAATCAGTACATACTCATTACAACATCTTTGCGTACACCGTTCATATTTGATTTGTACCATGTGGCAAGAGTGTGGATTGCAATAAAGTTGGACTCAAATTCACAATTGGGGTTAGTAAGGACTCCCTTTAGTCTTGGGATGAGTTCTGTGGAACGACCCTTGTACGGACCCAGGAACAACCTCTTCTGGTCATAATCATTTGCATGAATGTTATCCCAGATTACTGGTGCTCTTCTGAGGATTTTAGAAACTTCTTCAATAGACTCCACTGTGATGTCTTTGGACACTACTTTGGGACCTTAAATGAAAGAACGCATTTAATAGCGTCACAAGCTCAGAAAAAAAAAAGCAACAACAAACATACACATCAAAGCGCATTCAATATTGTCAAACGCTCATCAATTAAGGCGTCTGTAGAGAAAATGCTCACCTGTCCAAAGTACATCTATGCTGGGTAGTAACTTTTCCCCTACTGTATGGAGGTAAGGCGACTGAGGAACATTAGGGTAACAGAAGGTTCCGCAGTACTCTGGGAAATAGAGTACAAAGTTTAAACTGTTCAACTATTCACATTTTACAAAAACTGTTCTTTTTTAAAGAAATATTTTAATACCTGTAGGACAAAAAAGGAATGTCTCTGGCTCTCCCAGATATTGGTAGATTTCATTTGTGATTGAAACTTGAGCGTGAGCAAATGAACTAAAAACTTCCTTGTCAGCAGGGCACATGTTTTGATCAATATCATCAAAAAGTAAGGCAAAAGACTTGCAGCCAAAATGTGTAACCTACAAACACAAGTCAGAAAGAATCAACATTAGAACATATAGTTCTAGCTTGTCAACAGTGATGTTTGTAACACAGAAGTCATGTTTGCCTGATCCAATTTTCTTTTAAGAGCAGAAACTTCCTTCTGGTTGGAGAAGGTGATATCCAGTCCTGGCGATATGGCGTAGATAAAATCTATGTTATGTTCTTTTGCAGCTCCAATAAGTGTCATGAGTTGCTCTGTGATTAAAAAAGAAACATCAATCAAGGGGTGCTTGTGTATAGAAAAAAGAAAAATAATGCAGAAATGTAGAAAAGTTACCAGCTTCTTCAACAGAATACAGCTCTCGCCAAAACATTCTGTGTTTGCAGTCATCTTTGGGGGCATACAAATATGTGTTCAGTCCCCACTTCTGCTGCCTATGAAAAGGAAACATCGACTTAGCTTACAATATTAATTAAATATTAGGTTGTGAAACACATCTAAATAGTAATAATCGATGTATTACATAAGACACATACCTTCTGAATAGTTCTTTTCTTTGTTCCATTGTCCACGGACGACCATAGAACCCTATGGAAGGAAATACGTGTAGTTTTACCTATGATTACGTGTGTAGACTGCTCAGTCGAAAATGTTACTTGCTAATGTTGTAGCTGATGGTTGTTATGTACATTGAGATGAAATAAATTAACACGATATTTACCTTCAACGACCCCGCTGATGAATTTCCTATGATCCGACAGCTCGACTCCATGGCTGGTTTCTGGGGCCGAGACTGGGGCCTCGACGCAAGCCTCCGCGGAGATCGGACTGGTGCTTGAATCACCGTCGATTTGTGCGGCCTCTATAGCCTTATCTTTTTGAACCATCGCTGGAAAATAATGCTCCTAGTAAGATCTAATATACCTCAAAAGTACGCCGAAGTATTAGCAACAATTTATGTCAGCAAACAAGCGGGCGAGCAAAAACCCCAGAGCTGATCGCGTCACAGAGCTTTTGGCTCAATTCTATATCAATATTTCAACGAAATGAAAACACGTCATATAGCTTGCACGTGACGGCAACATTTGTATCTATAGTTTGACCAGCTTTTCTTCGGTAAACGCACTATCACTCTTTTGCTTTCGCTGACCTGTTTCGTTGTTCTTCCTGTTTACACCAAATGCGCATGCGCAAGTGGCCGGCTCAAACCAGTTAAAACCAGTCTCAAAACCACGTACTGCTTGAACAACTCGAGTCACCATGGAAACACCGCTGCTCTCCTGCGCCACCCCGGTAAGTAATGTTTATTTATATGGCGCATTTTATTGACCAGTGACCCAAAGCGCTCTACAATGTCTTGAAATTAAATCAGATATAGTTTCTATATCAACATTTTCTGTCATTTATATTAAATCGTTATTATTGTTAGGTTATATATGTTCTTGAATACTTTTTTTTAAATTGACAAGTCAGGTAAGTAAAATTTATATTTGATTTTGACAAATCTGGGATAAGCTAAAGTTACCACGTTAGCTATATTATAAAAATATACTGCATCATGATACACAAAACAAATCAATGTAAATTAGTTCGTGAAAAATACCATATTGTAAAGGTTTTTTGTCATACGTTTTTTGAAAACAAAAATTGGGGTGGCAAAAGTTAGTCTGCTTCCCGAAAAATAATCTTTAAAAGTAGTTAAGCATAGTCATTATAATACATTTATTTTAGGGTAAAGGGATGAGTTAAACATTAAAATTAACCGGGAAGTTACCAAAGTAACAGGGTTTTTTTTACTTAAACATATGCGTCAGTGTTTGTTACCATATTGTATATAATTTCAATTGTTCCCAGTTTTGATGGGTTGACAGAAGTCTTGGATGTGCTTGACCCATACGCTCAACCACACATGCAGATTTGTAATAAGGTTTCATGAATGCATTACTCTTTATACAATAACACAATTGTAAACGTTATCAGTAATCTTTTATTCCCCTTAGCAATACTGTGGAAACCCATAAAAAAAAAAAATACAACTCAACAGGGGACCCCTCCCCATTTTATAAAAGACACTGCATTTCAAAGCCGAGGAAACTTTAAACAAGCCACAATTAATCTCGCCAGGTTTATTGTGTAGTACATATAGTTAATACATATTCAAGTTTCATTCCATGTAATGTTCTTAGACAATCCAAAAATTGTAATTGCAATTAAATAAACTTTAAAAAAAATTACATAATGTTACTCAAATCTTTTTTTAAGCCTCTTTGCCATTTTCATTTTAAGTTTTCACTTCAATAGAAGGTGTTAAGCTTTCAGAAATAATATAAACAAATGCAACAAATAAAAATAAAGACATCATTGGCACATTTGAGCCAGTATTTGACTGAGGTATGGTCAGACATCTACACCAGGCCTCCAGTTACCTCTTCATATTCTGTTGAGCCTGCTTCAATAAAGTGTCAAAGTCAAGTGCATGATATTTATTTCTTGCAGGTAATGGTTCAGACTCTTTATTTGAATCTATAAAAAAAGAAAAAAACAGACATTAGAAAAATGCATTTAAAAACGTCACCATGTGAGCTCAATCATGTAAAGTATATACCAAGATCAGCATAGCTGGTTTTGCAAAATTGTCTCCTTCCTCCAAAACACAGATCAAATGGCATTTCATCTGGCTTACGCAGCTTACTTCCATTCTCAATGGCCATGAAGGCATCGTTAGTGTTATAGTATGTTACAAAGCCATAGTTATCCCTAAAGCAGAAAGAACACAACCTGTAAGTAATGAAAAAGAAAGTCCAGTCCAAGACCATTTTACTTTAAAAATGTGACTTGCTTTTAAAAGGGCAGACCGGGTGTAGAACCAGAAAGCCCCAGTTATGAACAAGCCTTTACTATCGCACTGTAACTTGGCCCAAAAAGGTCATGAGGAGACCAAAAGCGTTCAAAGGCAGTGCACAAGGATGCTGGTGTAGTGTAGTTTAACCTACCCACGGTCTCTAAAATGCAATGTGCACTCTTCAATATCTCCAAAATAAGAGAAACGCTCTTTAAGCTCTTTCTGCGTCATTGTACCCCTGATTCGTCCAACGTAAACCACACGTCGCTCCTCCTAAAATATATAGTATAGTACATTAGCAGGTTCAGTCATTGACATTTTGGAATGTTTTAATTTAAACTAACAATGGCTTTCTCCTTCCGTCTATTCAGTTCAGGATGAGTCTTCACATTTGCATAATACGCGTCTCTGAAAGAAGGGCTGCAATAAACAGAAAGAATCAGGTTATTGAGCAGGTAAACAATGGTCCAAGAGTGACCCAGTCCAGTAAACTGACTGAAGGTTGCAGTTTTTTCTACAAATTAATTTTAGGTCTTAAGAAATGTCATATTTTTCCCCACAAACCAGCACAACTGCTAGTAAGGTCTATCCAAAGTGTCCAGATGGGTACCCCTGAAACCCATTTACCATAGTGTACCCTTTACATCAAGAATACACTATGGTAACTCGAACTGTAGTTATTGATAAGTAATCATCTTTGCCCAATAACTGGGAGTTACCTGTAAAAATCCCTCTTTCTCCACTGGGGAGACCTAGAGCGAGATCTAGAACGACTCCATGATCCAGAGCGGGATGAAGAATAGGAATATCTTCTTCTGCGAGGAGGAGATGACGAACAAGAGGAAGACCGCGAGGACGAAGAGCTTGAACCGCTTCTTGAGTGACGTGTTCGACACCTGGAAGCATTTTGAACGTTAAAACAGAATCAAAAGAACTTAACAAATTTTGGCACAAAACATGTACCTTTTTTGAGGAGGGGAATACAATCGTGACCTGGATCTTGAGGAATGAGAGTCAGAGTCTGAGGAGTCAGATCTAGAACATTGTAATCTTCTGACTCGAGATCGGCCAATGGACCTCTCTTTAGGACTGAGTGCACGGGAGGAGGCATGCTTGCGATAGGACCGGACAATTGTACCTTGCTTAGGACATGCATCATCGTCGTCTCGTGTGGGTGAAGCGTCAGGTGTTTCTAAGACTGAACTAGTTTTCAAATTGCCATGCTTTTTATTGAGTTCTGGTCCTTTGTCTGCACATGATGTGACCTGCACAGTGGGTTCTTGGGAATTCTGCTGCGTTTGCTTAATTGGTTTGATGGTTATTAAGGAGTGCTGTTTGACGTTCCAACGCTTTCCAGCCTCTTCGCTTAAAGTGTCTTTGTTGGGAAGACAGTAATCGTGATCCTTGCATGCCATGTCAGGATCTACAGTAGTCATTTTGTTACGCGCTTTAGCCAAGGGCAGAGGCTGAGCCTTTATTTCAATCACTTTTGATTGACCCGACTTAGTATCTGTCATCTTGCTTTTCCCCAGCAGGGCCATAGGGACGAGAGGTTTCCACAGTGGATGAGGAGGAGTACCAGGAGGAGTTAACGCTGCAACAGAAGGGCGAGTGTCAGAAAATCATCACCCAGAAGTGTTCATACTGTTTAAAGACAAAATACCTGTGCTTGAAAGCTCACTAGTTTTAATATGCCCCAGATTTTTGTGTGCAGAAAAGTCAGTGCTGTAGAGAGGGAAAATTAATTCATCATTTATAATGTTCTTCCCAAATTTTACACACAAATTGTTTATGACATGTCAGCGGTAGGTCTTGGCATAGAGTGACAATTGTCACCAAACTTTAAAACTTTGTCCAATGTAAGCGAACCAAGTGCAATTGCATTAGGTGTAAATTCAACTTTATTTCTGAGCAGTTTGAGGGCTGTAGGGTAACTCACCTAGAGTTTCCTACAGCTACTGCTCTACCAGAGACCTCCGGCAAACATTGCTCATCTTTGGCTAAAGAGAAAGAACAGAAATAAAAATCAACATTTCAGCCATACATTGCCATGGGTTAGAAATAGAACATTTAAAACAAAATAAAAAGTGCCATCCTTCCCAAATTAGGTTCTGACCTAGTGCATTCCAACAAAGACTCAGCTGTTGGAATGTTGCCCTGTCTGCAGACCCATTTCACTCTAAGCAAAGAGCTCCCCATCAATCAGGGGTCACTTTGATATGTTGCAACTCACAAACTCTGCTATGCCCATCTATGAATGCATTAAAAACTACATAGTATTGATTTCTTTTTTTTGTTTAAAACAGACCTTGGGTTTCTTCAAACTGCTCCAGCAGACTGGTCAAATCAGAAGCTTCAATGCCTAAAAGAAAATTCATCAGAATTAAACCATTAGGCATAACAGAATATTAACTCAAACTTACCCATCTCAATTGTAAAGGCATCGATCAGTTGTTGTTGTTTGAGGCCCTTCGTGTCCAATGACTGTACTGAGAGAACCCCTTTAGACTTTTTTGAACTCTTTGGATTCACCCATGTTGAATGATTGACAGTAGAGGTTGAGTCTTTAGATAGGCGTGTTTTTTCTGTGGCATTACATGTGGCTTTAGTTTTAGGTGAAGCAGAGTCATGAGAGACAATTTTCAAATCTTCAGCAGGTTCGATGTCCTCGGTAGAGGTCGTTGCAGATTGGGCATCGTCTGTGACATTAATGGTTTGTTCTCGAGTAGGTTCTCTTCCATGTTTATGTTGAGCCAAAGTTTTCTGCAGATTTTCCGAACAAGTAGTTTGTTGAGCATTATTGGTGATTTTACTTTCTTTTCCTTCAGTAGGTTCTTCTGAATGCTTATTTGCAACAGATGTTGAAATTTCATGTAAACTCTGAGAACAAGGTGTTTGTGGTGTGGTAGCAGCCTTGCTGACAGCTGTAACCATGTAGGCTGGAGGGGCTAACAGTGCCTCAGGTGTAGGCGGTGCACATGGACCACGTGGCATCCAGGCTGGCTTGACCTCCTCCAGGTCTTTTGACTGAGGTCGAGACATCCGTGGATCCCTGGAGCTGGGCTCAGGCAGAAGGGGGATTGGTGGGAGCTCTCTGGGAGGTTCTGGAAGGCTGGGCCACTTTGTGCTATTATCAGCTTGTTTTTCTACTGGAGCTGGCTTCTTCTGTTGTCTGAGGCGACGATATTCTGCCAAACTGAGAGATTTGGGTTTTGGTTCTCCCATGGCAAGAGTCAGAATAGGAGATTGCGTTTCAATAGCTGGAGTAGACATTAAAACTTCAGGGACGGCTGCTTGTTCAGTCGGCTCAAATGTTTGAACTTTGGAATCAGGAGTTGGAGCTGACTGAGATGGTGTAGGTTCAATCTGCAGCACACTTTCAATTGGGGGCCTTACAGAATTATTCGTCTCAGCATGTTGAGAAGAAACAGGCAGTACTACTGTAGGTGTCACGGTGTCTCGAGACATGGTTTCAGTTACACCAATGGAATTGGCAGCATTTGTTTTTGAACCATTAGGATCCTGGAGCATGATTGTTTTGCTTTTGTTCCCTTTATCTTTACTTGGACGTTTATTTTCAAGCTTTTTTGGTCCAGTCTTTGAGGCACTGCGAAGGACCCTACCCTCAGTAGTTTCTACATGACATGCAGGCAAACACTTACTTGATTGACTTTTTCTTTGAGAGAGGTTTTTATGCTTTTTTTCATTACCAGATCTTTTAGATATTTTCTTCACATTAAAACGGGATTTCTTCTCTTCAACTGTCAGAAATGGCTTGACAAAATCACAGTCATCGTCATCAACAACTATTATTTGCTCTGAACTGTCAGAGGCTACATCGTCCATTTCATCCAAAACTTTTGAGATCGACTCGTCAAGTTCAGAAGAAAGAGTGTGAGCCATTTCTGGGATGGCCAGTATAGGTTGTCCATTTTCACCTTGGTCAACAACTTCAAGTAAAATTCCTCCTTCAGGGAGCAGTTTTACCTGGTCTTCTAGAGAAATAGCCATACAATATGGATGAATTTGTCTGACCAAATCACCCAAACTGACAGATAGTCCATCTTTATCATCTTGCTCCAATGAAAATGGAAGACCACTCCAATCTAACAACTCATTGTCAGAAGATAATTCAAGTATTCTTGGGCTAGGAGTAAGAGAGTCTTCTTCCTCTTCTCCATCACTTCTTTGCAGAACCATGGGTAGGGTCTGGGACAAAAAAAGGGATGCATTTAAAAATACATTGAGACACCAATAAAAGTAAAGCTTACAATTGTTACCTTGCCAATAGAATTGTGTGTGCCTATTGTCTCCTTGTCCAGAGGGGAACATGACATACGAAACGATCTCAGCTAAAAGAAAATTAGATAAAGAAAAACAAGACAAAACAAAATAAATATTTTTTTTGGGAGAGCTCAAGGTTTGGTCAAATGTATTGCCTTTATCGCAGTTTGCACATTATCACAGTTTAGGAATGCCACCATCAGTGGACTGGAATAAATTACGTGACAAAACAGACCACAAAGCTATTTATAAATTAGATATTCATCTTAGCATTTAATAATCCTATTTCCAATATATTTACAGGATTTTTGATTAGGGCCTTTCCGAATTTGGCGAGGGAGCGAAAAGAACCAGGAAATTGCTTAGCATAGTTATGACAAATCAACGCAAAGGTTTGGAAAAATACATTTGTTATTTCAATTGAATATTTATGACAATTTAAAAGCCACAATATTCTGTATGTGCTCTGCAACATTGACATTTCCCCACTGTGGGACAAATCAAAGTTCTTATCTTATCTCATTTTGTTGGAATATTGTGGTCTTTTTTTGTGTTGAATAAAACTCATTTTGACACAGTTTCACCCTTAGCAGTTTCTATCAATAATAGAGCTGCAACTAACGATTATTTTGTAATCGATTAATCTATCGATTATTTTTACGATTAATCGAGTAATCGCTTGGCTGTGAATTGTGTAGAAATTCTTTATTTTTTCATCAAAAAGCTAAAGTGGCAACACTCGAGGACGTATTGATGGCGTAAACTTAAAGTACATGGTTGTAACAGGCTCTTTGTGCTAATTCTGCTATCTGATTGGATGAGACAGATATTCATGAAATTATAAAAACAAAGTCTGTTTTAATCAAAAATACTACATTTTCATGTCATTTTTGCTCTGTTTGAGTCCGTGTGAACCAGAAAACAATTAATCGATTACTAAAATAGTTGTCGACTATTTCAATAATCGATTAGTCGTCGACTAATCGATTAGTTGTTTCAGCCCTAATCAATAATGAAAAAGAAATTTGCGGAAAAATTGCCCAGACCTTAAGTGACGTACACGTAGGGTCTTTGTTGATATGCATTTGTAAGCCATAACGTTGTATACGGACGTTTTAAACAGATATTTGTTATTCAGTGATGGACAATACAAGTCAGGGGCTTTTATTTATGAGCCCTTGCGTACTTGTTATGACAGTAATTCTGATTTTGAGGACTCTGACTCTGTTCAGATGAGGAGCCATCTTCAAGAACTCAACATTTGCGAACATAAGGGCCGTTTCCATTGGACTCATGGATCTATGGTCCGACCCGTCTCGACCCAGTTTGCGGATGCGGTCATTTTGAGCTCGATGGTGCACCCGAGTGAGTGTAAACTAGATCTGCAACTAACGATTATTTGTAATCAATTAATCTATTGATTATTTTTACGATTAATCGAGTAATCGCTTGGCTGTGAATTGTGTAGAAAAAAAAAAAAATTTCATCACAAAAAGCTAAAGTGGCAACACTCGAGGACGTATTGATGGCGTAAACTTAAAGTAAATGTTTGTAACAGGCTCTTTGTGCTAATTCTGCTCTGATTGGATGAGACAGACAGATATTCATGAAATTATAAAAACAAAGTCGGTTTTAATCAAAAATACTACATTTTCATGTCATTTTTGCTCTGTTTGAGTCCGTGTGAACCAGAAAACGATTAATCGATTACTAAAATAGTTGTAGACTATTTCAATAATAGATTAGTCACTGATTAATCGATTAGTTGTTTCAGCCCTAGTGTAAACAAGTGTTAGCGAAGGTAGCGCTAGGGACGAAGGAATCGATATTACGGATACCGCAGTGCAGAGAAAAGTTAAGAAGCATAAAAGTGACTGACATGAAATGAAAGATCCCAGCCGTAAAAGTGGACAGAACCGAAAAGTCTGGAGGTGGTTTGACAACATGGATTATTTTTACGGACACCAGCTAACAAGTAAATACCCGCAACACCGAGAGAGAAGCCTCAACTCTATGTCCCAGCTCCAGATGTTGAGTTTGAGAGATATGGCAAGTGTCTGTCTTCAATCAAATACAAACATGTATGGTCTTATACTGACCACGTGTCTGTGGTGCTGAAGTCTAAAACATGTGTCATATATCTTTTTCTAAACATAGTTAGAGAGTGAAACATGGATTCATGGTTCAATGACAGTCGTTGTGTTTTCTGCTGAATACTGGGTTGAAACTCGTAAAACTGGTTTTAGTTGGAACTTGATAGAACTAATTTTGGGTGGCATCATGGAACTCACACTGGTGTCTTCTCTCAGTTTGTTTGGACCGTCACCTTCTCTGAATAAGTCAAAGATCGTAGGGACTGCTGTTTACACTCTTCTTTCGGTAACTTTCCTTGCTGCATCCCGGGGGCATAAAAAATACACCAGTTTTAAAGAAATTATTGTTCTTTTTTCTCAATTTTTTTGACAATCAGAGGCGTTCATATTGAAAACTTTTTTTTTACTGATTTATTAATTATCTATAGCATAAAAACACATTGCTGTGGTGGGAAACGCATGTTTGTAATGTATTTTATACATAAAAATAAATAGTTTTTATTAAGGATAGTTCCCTTTTAAGATCGGAAAATGAATGCCCTTTTTGTTCAATAGAATTCTCTTAAAGCTTTGAATTTGGATCCATCCAATTATAATAATGCAGGTGTAAATTAGCCCAAGGTGAACTCTGGTGCAATGCATAAATGGAAACATTAATGCTCTAAATTGTACACTGTCCCTAAACTAAATAAAGATCCTGGGACTGCTTTGTGAGACAATTTGTAGATATTTGAACACTTACCGGGGAGTGCTCCCTGCCCTTTTGCCCTGACAGCAAGTCAGACTCTGGCAGTACATCAAATGGGGATGGATTCTCATCATCCACATTGTCCAGGATCTCTGTGAGAGCCGAAAGCAGTGTGGCCTCAGTCTCCTCTTCAAGTCCTCCATCCTGCTAAAGTAAATCATGAGGTCAATTGTGCATACAACAGGAAGATAAAACATTGGAGTATGTAATAAACGTGCCTCTATTGCTGCCGTGTCTTCAAACATAGAAAGAATAGAGGGCTCCAAGCAGCTTTGAAGAGTGTTGATAGTGTCAGAGTTCAGTCCAGTTGCCTTTCATAAAAAAAACACAAACAAAAAAACACATTCAATTAGACAAAGCACAAATTCAACAGAATTCATTGTATGTATATACAACATTGTAGATATTATTATTATTATGTGATGTTTTTTCTGGAATTTTACATTTTGCCTAGGGACTGTAGTCGGAAATGAGCTTCATAGCTAATACTGGCACATTTGCTGTTCCTATTCAAATAAAATAAATTAAAATCATAGCAGATAGTTGTTCAAGTGTGGTAAAAATTTATTACAGCATTGCACTTTTATATGTCTTGTTGGTAATATCCAAATGTCTGTGTACCTTTTAATTTAAGGTAAGTTAAGCAAACTTATCGCATGCAATCTGTAAAATGGTCAGGGCACACTGACCCACGTGTTTGTATTCACACATGCACAGCGCAGACATGTTTGTCCACGGCCTCACCCATAACCCTATCTTGCCACAAGGAGGCCACCTACCCCACATGTTGCTTTACAACAAACTATTCTAGTAAAGTGGAGGCTTGAAAGACTGAAAATGACATTAACTTTTAAGGAATGAGCAAGAGACGTAAACAACTCAAATATAACTCGGACGCAATAATCGTTTGGGAAAGTATAATTGCAGGCCTAGTCTTAGTTCAACAAAACAGGCCTCCAGTGAGCATGCGTGAAACCCAACATGTGATTTTACACAGACTGAAACACACGTGGAAGCTCCATTGAAACAATACAAGTTTCATGTTGGCATTATAACATGGATCCATTAGAGCATCATCATATCTCAACGCCGTGCTAATATAGAATTTGTATTGTCAACAAAATGCGACACATTACCATTAGTAAAAGATACCAGAACTAGCTATTCTTGTACTACGAGTTTGATAGCTTACCACAGCACCAAAAGAGTAACAAAAGAGTACTACACTGCACGGTGACATGAGAAATTAGTTCACTGATTTAGATAATCCAGGATTGATTGTCGTTTATTGGCTGAACACGTGTACCAACTAGATGACCAACTAATGGCAGGGACTGAAGAGCCCCATTCTAAATGTACTAGTTACATATTTTTTTTAACATCATATGGTTTAAAAACAGCCAATAATTATCCTTGATGTGCACGGGATTATATGTATGCAACACAAAAAACTGTCACTGCTATACTACAAACATGACTGTATGTCAATAATGCTACAATATACGTGATTAAATCATCAGGTAGACAGCTGACAAACTACAATAGGCACTAGTGGACAGAGGCTAGAAGTCAGTTTACAATGTCAGTCTTGGATGCACCTTGCATTGAGAGTTCTGAATGTGTTGTAGAACTGTTAGCATTACTTTGGATGTTTCCACGTGTCACTTCATCATGCACAGAAGCCCTTACCATCCTTTATTCTTTGTAACGCGTGTTCTGCCACGGACTTTAAGAGGAGCTTTTTAAACACCAAATATAAACGTATATTTACCTGATCTAGTGTGTCCAGAGGGAAAATATCCATATTGCACGTTGTTAATAAATCCTCGCCAGCACCCCACCGCACCGCCATCTTGCAACAACTCTAGCTACTACTCCCAGACCGGTGAGTTTCCGACTGAAAAACTCAAGCCGGTGGAAACACGTGGTTTGTATCCCGGCAAAATGACGTCATGTGACGCATCAGGTCGAGAGAGTACATCATCATGTACATGTTATAAATATAATTGTAATTAATAATAATAAAAATAATGATTAGGATACAATAATATATACACATTTCTACAGTCCGTTCTACAGTCTTTGCTCACCCTTGAGTTGAGGTTTCTTCCAAAGTTACAACAAAAATATGTATTTTTCATGTTGATAACAATTGCAAGCTCGGAATATTTTCAAATGATTTAAACTTTGCAACTTAGTGTAGCCCTCTGTTGCTGATCAAGAACTAATCACGTGCACTCTTTACTGGTGAAAGACTATGGAGTGGTCTTCATTGGCCAAAATGACATGAGCATTGTTTACTAATTACATTGTAAGTACATATGAAACAACAACAAGATACATAAGAGCTATTTTTCTTAATTTCAACACATTCAAATCTTTAATTCTTCGTATAAGATAGACATTATTTAGGATTTTTTTTGTCAGTTACTGTGGTTTGTATATCAGCCACAGCAACTCATAATCGTTGTATGTTTTAGAATTCTACTGCATGATATTGTAAAAACAGTGTATTGTGTGGCATGTGTGATGGGGGTTGGAATCAAATAAGCATTTGCTTCATCCAACCCCTTTTCGAACCAGGTACAAGTTATGTGTCTGTTATATTGATATATGTAAAATATGAGTTGGGCAGGTTCGAGGAAATAAAAGTAACAATAAATAAAGTAGTAGCATACATATACATTACAAAAATAATTTAGAAATAGTTTCATAGTTTGTACAGAAAAGAAACACAAGTTCATGACTCAATCCCTCTGTGTCTCGATATTTTGTGTTTGATTCTGTCTTAGGTTCAAACACATGAGTAAATAGAGCCTGTTGTTATTTGTGTGCAAATGTTTTTCACGTATAGTTATGCCTAACATGTATAAGGAATGCATTGTCAAATCATCCTTTGCCAAAAATCACTTTGGCCTCAAAATTCAGTTTACACCAATCACAACTGAAAATAACCAGGATCCTTCTCATGAGTATGTGTTGTAAATGTTCAAAAAGTACATTGATCGATGGGAGGGACAACTCCTGAATGATTAATGATGATGAATCAAGATCAATATGTTTAATAAAATAGCACAATGACTATAAAGGAGATAAAAATACACTCTAAATAAAATGAAAAAAAGCAAATGTTTATGCCCGTTTTTAAAGTTTGAATTTGGGTCAGATACAAAAGTGGGGGAAATGAATACCTCATTAGAACCAATACTGCATAGTGCATAAAAGCCACAGGCAATTCCCTATGTCCCTGTGCAGAAATGTATTAGAGATGAGTCTGTCCATGTGCTCCTGGTAATCTTTCATTGTGGTTTGCCTCTAATCATTTCCTCATTCAATGAGTCAAATTGACTCGGCCTATAAATGCGATTGTTTTCCGGCTGCTTTTGTGTTTTGTGGCAGTCATCCTAAATGCAATTTGGAAAGGGTTACCTATGCCTTAGCTAACAGACATGGGACTGTCCTTTTTACAAGCCTCAAGTAGCCTGGTTACATAAACAAACTATTTGTTCCTGTAAAGTTATTAAGTAACAGCATGTTCACTATAAAATGAAGAATGTTATCACTATTCTATTTGCGTGTCTATCATCAATGTAAACATATAAACATGGTTAGAACCTCAATTATAAATGTACAGTATGCCATTTTCACATTGATATAAATTTGATAATGAATGAATAAATGATATTCATTCTGCTGTCATTCCCTCAACAGTTGGAGGTGGGTGGGATCAAAGTTCAGACTGATGTACAATATCCATCATGTTCCTATGTATTAATAGCGTCAGTACAGTGTGTTCACAGGCAGTGCGCTGTACATCTGTGGCAGCTACAAGACTCATGAGCTTGTCGGCGTGAGAAAAACAGCAGAAGAGAGAAGAGCTCCACTGTGCCCCCGACACACTGCTGAACCAGTACCTACTGCTGCTCTGCCGTTGCCATGGATACAGTGCCCTCTCTTGCCCCCCTCCCATGCGTCTCCTTCGGTGGGTTCGATGAGAGAGGAAGAGAAGTGGCTCTACCTCTGCGTCATATTCATACCAGTGCAACTGCCCCCGCCAAACCACTGCTACCACTCTACCCCTCCTTCTTCCTCTCTCTTTCTCATCATCCAATTTGCAGACTGCTAAAGCCCCCCTCTCTCCTGTTTGTGTCTTATAACTGCATCTGTTCATCTGCCTCTCATTCGCAGCACTGGCCAGGCTCGACTCATTCCTATCTGCGTAGCTGACCCAGGAGAACGTGTGCAGAGTGGACGTTGTGTGCCAATAAGGAGACCAACGCACAATAGGTAAGATTAAACAATGCTTAAGCCTTGTGTGATGGAGCAAAACACAATTACAGAATGATGAGATTTAGGTGCGTGGAAACAGCTGCTCAACAAAGCGCTATAGGCTGCATGCTGTTATGAACTCACCTGAGGATCATGTGCAGCCATTCCTGCATTTCAGGCAGAATTCCCACTATTCGTAACTATGATTTTTTTGTCAGCATGTCGATTTAGTGGATATATTTGCACCGTAGGACTTCATTATCCTCTCATAATTTCTCAGTGTGTGACAAAGTGGGAGTATCTACTGCAATATTGAAGAGAAGGTGCCTAACAGCGTCAAAGGCAAAAACAAAAGCTGTTTCCCAAACCACATTCCTCCACTGTTACAACTCCCTCTAACGCTTGTATATATTTTTATTTTCATTGAGATTTTCTGTAACCTAAATTATAGGATCAAGGATCATTTATGAAAGTGTTGGCATAAAATATAAATATTGGAGAAAAGTGTGAATGACAAGAGGAGTGATTGTGACAAGCCATGTACTGTAGAGGGGAACAGAAGGAGAAGCCTGGAGCGCAGTTCATTGTGTCTGACATTTAACTCTGATGCTTCTGCCTGTGTTCTCCTGCTGCTGTACAGAGATTGTGTCTGTCAGCAGTGGTTTTAGAAGAGACACTTGCTTGTCTTTAGTCAGTCCATTTGATGTGAGTAATAGCGCTTTGTCAAATGTGTTTCAAGATGTAGAGAATAATATTCCCATGAATGACTAATTAGAGTCTATGAGCTACTGAGGACAGTGTTAAGATTGCAACAGACTTAACACATTCATTATATGCATGTATCACATGTACACATAAAGTTATGGTCGAGATAATACTGTATGTGTATTGCCTTGTGAAGGGGCACGCTGCACTAAGATAACTCGAGAGATTAACAAGATGAGAAACTCTCCATGTGACAAATGAGGAGGAAATAAAATGACATCATCTAAAAGCTGCAAAAAGGTCAAGGTAATATCAATTGTGAGGGGAGATTACATTGAGGTAAGATTAAAACGAGAATGAGGAGTGATGAGATGGCTGCTTAGCAAACAGTCTGTTTACACACGTGTGTATGCAGTATACCACCCCAAGCCTCCCATGGGTCTTCCGTGTCCCAAAGCTGCAGGTGGGCTTTACATTTTTAATCGATACTGTCTGTAGTGATTAACACCAGTTCTCTCAGTGTAATGCATAATGCGTAGGAAAAGGCATGGGAGGGAGACAGAGATATAGATAGAGATGTGTCACAGTGGATGTGTGAGCGAGCATGTGCACATGAGTGGTGGTAATGACCCTCTGCCTCCGGGCTCCTACAGAGTATGTTTATCTCCCACAGCAGCAGCAGCGGGCAGAAATAGATGATACATCGCCAGCCGCCACGCACACACACCTTGTACCTTTTCTCCTTTTCTTTTCTGTTGCTCTAATTGGCTCCCTCCTGCATTCTCCCTCTTCAGTCTCCCTTTTTATTCCATCTCGTAATGTTACTTACTCAAGTCTTGCTGTTCTTCCCTCCCACTTGTGTTGCAATATGCCTGTTAATGATGCACCACTGCCAACTTCCTGCCCCTGTCAGTGAGAGGGGAGTCTAGTTGTGGTGTACATGCTCTTCTACGTGTACCACTCCCTCTGATCACTCCACCCTCCTTCTTTCTCTGTGTTTGTGTTGTTTTGCACAGAGTTGGCCCATGCGAGCAGCGTGTGGACGGAGCGCAGCTGTTTCCATCATAGCAGAGCCCAACATGTGAGAAGATGTCTGTTGGAGGTTGTGCTTGTCCCGGTAGGTTACCAATTCATATATATGTAATGCATGGAACTTATGGAATAGTGCTCAAACCATGCCAATGGACAATGTCAAGTTGAGTGAGAGCTCGGTGCGTTATTATTTGTAGGTTCTTAGCACACGCTAGAAAAAAGCAAGGGTATAAAGAAGCAGCCCACTTTCAGATTGAGTTGTTCAGCAAGACTCTGTCACACCAACCCGCTGTGTTGCTGATCAATAGCTCTTAGAGTTTGGCCACATGCAGAGCTGCTGAAATATCAAAACCCATTTTCTTTTCTTGGTTTATACAATCACTTTTTTGAAAGGTTGGTGTTGTGATCTTTTTTGCCCGTGTAAATCACCAAAAAGGCTTTCACAAAGAACATTTTCCATCATCCCTAAGGACTTGATATGATTACAGTGGATTAATTGGTTTAAATACTGTGAAAGCTTGTCTCTCTTGATGAGTTCAAGCCATTAATGACAGCACTTAAGAGGATTTAACAATGTTTTATAGGAGTTTGGTGTTTCTCTGGGTACTGACGAGCTTTGTGATAGTGTGCTTGTTTTGTAGTAGCTACCATTTAAGATTTCTCTCTGTGTGTAATATAAGACTTGATTTGAATTGGTCATGCAAAGACAGAAAAAATGGTTAGACATATTTGTGTAGTCTCTAGAAAATTCTCTCTTTTTTCCGCCTCTTGTATACTACAATGGGATTCAATGTATGACGTTTTATACATAAATTGCCCCAAACCTCATTTAATTATTTCAGAAGCAACAGCATTTTTTTGTGTGGCAATAGATAAGCTATAAGGAGACACTGGATGCACTGCCAGGAGACTTTGCAACACAGGGGAGAGAGTAACAGAAATTGAATCGCAACATCTGCTCTGGGGCATCTCTGAGAGGCTATATTGAATTAGAGTGTCAGTATTGTTTTAATGGAGACAACCTGATTCATTGGCTAGGAGCTATCAGATAGAATAATATTATGAAGCTTTCTGGATGTTGCTTGGTTGTATTCTACCATCATTTTCCTCCTCCCTCGGCTGACTGACTTTCCTGTAGAGCTCAAACTTTTAATGACATCCACATGTTTCTAACACAGAGACTGAGGAGGCTCCCACAAAGACTGCTGCAGTGTTTTGCACAAGTTTGTTTTAATAAAGTAGGCCTTTGTTGTAGACGTATGTATATCACTGTTGCTCCTTCGTGACATGTTTAGACAAGTATGAGTTCTGAGATCAGGAAAGGCGCTGATCAGAGTAGGTTCACAAATGCTGAATTTATATTCGGGCTTATTGTTTACATTCTTACACAGAAGTCGATGGAGGCTTCCCACAAACAAACACTACAGACAGCACTTACAGTTTACTCATCTGCCAGTTTCATGTCTGGGAAAAAAGTTCTGCATAAAAGATTTACAATCAGAATGTATTGTCTAAAATTCACAATGTTGTGTTCATCCCATGGTCATCTGGCACAATATGGAAATTACCTGAGAAGCTAAAAGGCATACATTTCAAGTCAGACCCATTCCTGGCAATTAATGACCCAGGAACAGCAAACGGTACTTTGACTTTGAATCTGGCCTTTGAAAATCATTGTTTCTATAAGCATGAAGGAGAACACCGTCATCATACAGTGGAGCCTATCACAGCCTTTGTTTCAACTAAATGGTAAAAATAGATTGCCTGTGCGCCCAAGATGCCCCCCTCCCTTCTAGTTCTCACATGCATCCACTCAAACACCCCCCTTTTTTCCCTCTCTCCATATCTCCCCCTTGTTCATTTCCTCATCCCTCATTTGCCGTCTTTTGCACTGCTGCTACCTCATGCAGAAAGTCACATGGCTCATGATTAGAGAAAAGTGACTTAAAGCAGAGCTAAGATGGCAGCCAAACAGCCATTGCTTTTGATTACACAACGATACCTCTGCTGTATCTCTAACTCTCTCTTTATGCTTTGCCCTTGTTTGTCTGACCAAAATGGCTGTATTGAGAAAGAAAAGGCAGGAATATGTGGGAGAAAGATGCAGGGGAGCAGCTGAAAATCTGTGTGTATCAAGGAGATGAGTGCGGCGATGTCACAGCAGCTGTAGGTCAACCAGGATTGTAGACTAAAGCTGGCATGTGCCACATGGCCAGAGGGAGGGGTCTTTGATAATCAGGTGTTTGATACTGTTGAATGTGTTCAAGCTATAAATCATGGCCATAGACACAATTTTGACATTTATAAGATAAAGCTTGCTTCTTCTCATTGATTGAAGTTCAGAGCCTATATATAATAATGTATTCATTTATTAGAAGTTTATTATGAGTTAGCTGCAGAGTATGCATTTATTATTGTACATGATATTGTGCCTATGAATAACATCAAACATTAGGTAATTTCTTATTGCTTCTTAATGCCATTGGGTTTGTGTAAAGTATAACATTATATTTTAATATAAATTATGTACTCAATTAACAAACTGCTTTTCAAAGAATAGTTTAGGCTTAATAACTAATATCGCAACCCACTATTCTTATACATTATTCTCTAAAGGTTGTTTACATTACCATGCAAATAAGGAATGCTGAACATCAAAGAACGCATTTGTATTACTAACAAAGAGCAAAGGCAGGATTATACATTGATAAAAGTCATGGTGCTGAAGTGTGAAAAGAATGTACTGATCAGCAGATTTTTCCATGCGTTTTTATTGAAGTGAATTTAAGTATTCGACCTTGCATTATGCATATTGGTTAATATTGAAAATATAGAGATTTCCTTTTTTTTCTAGGTGTGTTATTATACCTCCACTGACGTCTGTTGTTGTGAAAGTTTTCTATTCAACCACTAGAGGGTAATCAAACTCTGAAAGTTTCCATCAGCTGAAGCGCTCAGAGTGGAGGATTGCTTTTGGACAATGGGATTATCTGTGAAAAGTTTAAGATTCTGTTCAGGTTTTACCCTGAAAAGAATCTGTGTGTAGTTTGTGTCCTGATTGATTTTACATTCATATTAAATGACAGACGGACTGCCTTTATGCCCTATCTTCAACTTTCGACAAAATGACTGTTAGATTCACTGGAGGCTATTACAAATTGAGGCTTTCATAGTAATGATGTGACCACAAAAAGGTTTTCCAGTCTTAGGATCTGCTGCTTGTAAACACTGGAGTGGTTATTGATTAAACACTGCAGATTGACTTACATTATCAAAGGCTATAAAGCTGAGGCTGTGGTTCAACTGAGAAAGTCAATATTGTTTAAATAACATCGCAATACTCATTGAGAAATAATTGGGGAAAAAAGCAGAGTAACATTTCCAGAAATGGTGTATGAGAATACCTCGACTACACAGTGCCTCACAGCAAGTAGGCCATGGGTTCAATTCCCGTGCCAGACATTCGGTTTGCATTCTGTTTCTCCTAGTAGAATTTCCTACGGGTGCTACCCAATATATGCACCATTATCCTCCAGCGAAAGTAGTCCAAGCAGAGCAAAAACATGGGTCCCTGCAGAAGCCCTATGCATGGCAGGATTGGGCAAATACAAGGGATGAATTTGACAATGGGGACCAGCAAACTTTTTGAACATAATATTCTAAAAAACATTTATGAGTTTGCATCACTTGAAGGCAACATTCTGAGCAGGGATGTCCAGACACTCAGACTCATCTGGGCCAGGTGCATTGAACCTGAACAAAGCAGGATACGCCAATGAATAAAGATGATTTTATGGGGCTTGGGGCTTAGACCCTGGAACACTGTGCAGAGGGATGGATAAACTAATGGTGGACATGGATGATGAGCATTGATGATCCTGAGAAGGAGATGGGTTGCCTTAGCTGTATAGAGATGAGCTGTGTCTCCATTTGAACTGAATGTTCATGTGCATTCTGAGGCATACCCAGGTCTGAGGTTGAAAGACAAGTGTGCCTATTGTTGACATATTTAGGTGAATGTTTAATGTCTCAATTTTCTTGTGCAAATCTGACATCACATTTTTCACAGTATGAACTTAAGTTATTAGTTATTTTATTTGTGATCTGTGACTTACAGGATTTTTTGTGACAACAATTATATACATATAAAGACAGAGTTTATCAGTTTAAAGAAATTGACAAAGTAGAGTGACTACAATAATAACTCAATTACATTTGAAAAGCAATAATATTCTATTGCAAACTGTTAACATATTCATCCCAACACTGCTGAAAGTTTGCAGTCTTCATGGGAATAAGCTGGTCATAATAAGCTGGTGACTCCATCAAACCGAACAGATGGATAACATCATCGTGTCATTCTCATACGTGAAAACTTTGTTAAGAGATCTGTGACTGTCTGCCGTGCAGCAGGCTCCAGGCTCACGGTCCAGGCCCGTGGAGAGGTCCTGATGGGCGGAGGAGCCACTGAAGGAGGAGGGGCTTTTGTTTGTTCGCGTCTCTGACAGGAACAAAGGGTCCCGTAGTAGTTGATAGGTAGCGCCATTCAATTAAATGCGCCATTAATGAGATCGTTGGAGATTGAGGATTATTTGCCACAACAAGGAAAACAGGTCATGCGCTTGTTCCTGTAGTCTCGTCCTGTTTGGGTGCATACGGCGGCTTTATCCTCGCCTGGAGCTTTCCTCCGGAGCTAGCAGCGAGGCTAGCTGCTGCTACACCGAGCCGAGGTGTGAGAAACACTGCACTTTGGTGCATCATTCTCTGCAGGTAATGCAAGCTCTCCTCCGCTAGCTCTGCACTGTTGTTGAAATATAATATTTCGTCTATTATCTTCTGTATTTTTTAAGAGTGTGGAATTATAACAGTACAGCTGTTATTATTTTAGTTTAGCATTTAAGTAATAGCTTAGCCATGGCATCCGATCACGATCAACATTGATGAATGCGGCCCTGTGGTCAATTTATGCTTTGTCTGGAAAGACATTCTCGTTGGGTACGTTTTCCAACTACATTTTGTATGTGGTGCTTTACGTTGCTTACGTGTAAACTACGGGTTTATTTCAAAATCTGCTAAAATTTATTTTACCCTTGCTTTTTAACGCGTTTGTGTGTGGTCCACATAGCTTTTTTATTTTGGACCATTTTCTGTGCTGTGTTGCAGGTTCGCTGTTTATTTAGAATAAAAGGTTTTGGACTGTATGATAATGGTTACACTGGGGAGATGCCATAGATCGGTGTGTCTTCTCTGCCCATTAGGAAGAACCAGCTGTCACACATTGTCATGTTACTGGTTTAACATGGCTACACTTTGGTACACTCCTAATTACAATATTATAAAGTTAAGATCTTAGGATGTAATATATATATAAAAAAACGACTTGCTTCTTTGAATTGTGTGCTTATTTCTGTGACTAATTTCTTATTGTTTTGGGGTGCAAAGGTTAGTCTGGTCAGGTTCCTTCTCAAAGTAACTAGGAGAGAATGACCCGCTGCATGTGAAACTAGAGAGAGCGGGGACCACCAAAAGGAGAACAAACAGCTGTGATGAAGAACTGAAAGATCAAAGTTCAGAAATGCATGAATACTGGTTTTGTATGCTGTAATTGAATAGGTCTTTAGTTGGAAGGTTGTTAGAAGTTCCCTTTTCTCCCATAAATTTATCCTACTGACTTGATGTTCACTATTCATTTGCTTTATGCTTTGAAGTCGACTGGATCTGTGATAAAGAGGACACTAATGGGATGGAGCGTGTCAAATTTCCAGTGGCTGTTGTCTCAAATAACTGAGTCCATCACTCTCTGTTTAAGTATTAAATATCTCTCAGGCCTAATTACATGCAGGCCTTGTGTGTGTGTGAGGTTTTGGTGTATAGAAGAGCCCCAGATTGTTAGAGCATGAATACCTCATCTGGGCAAACAAGGGTTAACAACAGCGGGACTAGGCAGGGGGATGGGTGGCAGCAGCAACGAGAGGGGACACCGCTTCACATTGCAGAGGAACAAGGTTTCTCAGGGGGGCATATAAAGTAATGAGTTTCGTGAAATTACTTGTACTGTCATGCAAATGCCATACTTTTTATGTCATCTCACTAATTGTTTTTACTGATATATGCATGCTAATAAATATAGCTATTTCATCACCATGATTAGTTTTCTGTCCATTTGCCAGATTGAAGATGCATTAGATAATGAAGCCAGCAGGAAATTGTTTTGGCAGATGGCTTTTATTTGAGTAAATCTTCACAAAATCATCCTACATTAGATTACTTTGATTATGTGATTTTTTTTTTTTTTTTTTAAGAGTCTTAATCTTGGTGGGCTAAATCTCCTCTAAGTTCTTTCTTTTCCTTCTCTCTGTAGGCTGTTCGTCAAAGTCATTCAAGCTGTACTCTCCTAAGGAACCCCCTAACGGCGGCAGCTTCCCCCCTTTCCACCCGGGCGCTATGCTGGACAGAGATGTGGGGTATGCTTGAACTCTCTCATATGACTCTAGTTTCATATCTGTAAGTTTTGTTATCTAATATCTAAAGTGGAATTTTGTCTCTTTCAGGCCCACACCCATGTATCCCCCTTCTTACATGGAGCCTGGGATGGGGTAAGTCATTTATTTTGAACTATTTAGATATAATGTATAAAGTGCTCATTTTATTAATTTTCCCACAGAAGACCCACTCCATACGGTAATCAGACAGACTACAGAATATATGAGCTGAACAAAAGACTACAGAATTGGACAGAGGTGAGAGAGCTCTGTAATATTGCATTACTTGATTATATAAGTTGTGCTGTATCCATTAGACACAATTTGCAATATATTAATATGTTGTAGTAATGTTCTTTTGCTAACTAATTAAATAGAAAGTAAGTATGCGCTGACTTGCCGGCAGTAATTTACAGGTTTTAATAGGATTATCACATCATGCTGCTTGTAATGTGATTGCAGTGAACTGTTACTGTGTATATGAATATGTGACAAACTATACTTAATTGTGTGCTGTTATTTGAACAGTCTTTTTACTATTGTCTCTTCATTTTTGAAGGACTGTGACAATCTTTGGTGGGATGCTTTCACCACAGAGTTTTTTGAAGATGATGCCATGCTCACTGTCACGTTCTGTCTGGAAGATGGACCTAAACGATATAGTAAGAAAACGGTAGTGTTTATATTGATATTATACAGCAAAATTATTTAATGAGAACATTTTCCCTCTCCTAGCAATTGGCAGAACTCTAATTCCACGGTACTTCCGGAGTATATTTGAAGGGGGCGCCACAGAGCTATTTTATGTTTTGAAACATGCTAAAGAGTCCTTCCACAGTAATTTTGTGTCTTTGGATTGTGACCAGTGCACGATGGTGACTCAAAACGGAAAACCTATGTTCACACAGGTAACCAGACATGATTTCAGTTTTTGTTATATTTATATCCCTTGATAAAATCTTGTATTTATCATTTAATCTCAAGGTTTGCGTTGAGGGTCGCTTGTACCTTGAGTTCATGTTTGATGATATGATGAGAATTAAGACGTGGCATTTCAGTATCCGGCAACACAGAGAGGTCCTCCCCAGAAGCATTTTGGCTATGCATGTAAGTACATCAACGGAAAATACATGAATACAAATGGTTGGTTGCTCACCTTTTGAACTTTTCACATAGGATCCCCAGATGCTCGATCAGCTAGCTAAAAATATCACCAGATGTGGGCTGTCTAATTCAACACTCAACTACCTCCGTGTAAGCAGCTTAAATAGATCTTGAAAATGTACACAATTTTGTATTACATTTCTCTAAAGACGCTTGTCATGTTTGTAGCTTTGTGTGATATTGGAGCCCATGCAAGAATTGATGTCCAGGCATAAGACGTACAGTTTAAGCCCCAGAGACTGCTTGAAGACCTGTCTTTTCCAAAAGTGGCAGAGAATGGTAGCACCTCCTGGTAACACAGCAGGTACACATATATTTTGTAAAGCTTTAAAATATTTATGCTAACACGCATATGCTAGCATTTATAGTTTTCACCATGTTGCGTTTGTTGTTTTTGTAGCTGAGCCAGCCAGACAAGCACCAAACAAGAGACGAAAAAGGAAGGTTTCTGGTGGAAGTAATGTGAGTTCAGGTGGAGGCAGCAATAACAACAGCAACAGCAAAAAGAAGAGTCCTGCAAACAGCTTTTCACTGTCCAACCAGGTAACGGAAACCTCCAACTCTTGACACATTCCTAAAGCCTTTCATTTAACAGACCGGGCTTCCTCGTAGTTATTAGGCAGTTTGTTGGTGGTCTTTGGGTGTAAGAAGAATAGTCTAGTCGATTGGGCGTGAGGCTGAATTTATCATGGCAGATGTTCAAACTAATGTTAAAACTAAATGTGAATTTCATTAAACTAGAATGTGAGTGTGGCCAGTCCCCTCCCTCAGGCCACAGGCTTACATTTTTGACTAGGATTTACAAATTCTTTCTCAGAAAGGTCGCAATAACTAGTTAGTTACCTATACCTTCTCCTGACTTGATTTTGAGATAAAGAGTTGTCCATTAAATGTTTGTGTTTCCTTGTAATGTGTAATGTATCTGAACACGTCACTCATGCTGTTTTGTTGTTGAGAGATCTGAGACGGAATGAGAACCCCTGGTGCAAGAGTAATTGGGATGGCTACAGCGGACCAATACAAAAGGCTCATGACCCCAGAACATGTAGAAGGGGCAACCACGTGGAGTTAGAGGTTTAACTGCTATTTGGTAACGGAAGAATGCCAGTTTTCATGATGTCATTTTCCAAAAGAAATCATCAATTGATATGAATTCATCTAGACTTCATGCTGCCAGTCATTGCGCGCCCCTTTACATTGGGGGATAATGTGTGCTGGCCCTTGCTGTCCCCTTTAGGACGTGATGATGGTGGGAGAGCCCACTCTGATGGGAGGGGAGTTTGGTGATGAGGACGAGCGTCTGATCACGCGGCTGGAGAACTCACAGGTCGATGGGGCCAATGGTCTCGACGATGATGACAGTTTCACCAATTCACCCTGGAACCCCAAGGGTCCATCCAGTCAGGAGAGCAAGAATGACTCTCAGTCATCTCAGTAAATTTACGGGACTTGTCCAGTCTTCAAACTAGTGGAGTCAGTAATGCTGACCTTTGTTTAATTTTTTGTTTGGTCATTAGAGTTGACAAAAGTTCTATGCTGCCATAAGGAAGGTTGCTGCAGTTGACGTTTCTGATTTCAAAGTACGCAGTGGACTCAGTCCTGGTCTTTGTCTTTTGGCCCATCAGTTCTTCCTAAAGTCATGGTTCAGTGGGTTCTTGTTCCAACCTCTGGTCTCTCACTTTGCTTTTTCTTCTTCATTAACATTTCATTGTTTCTGTTGTTCTCTACTCTGCTGCATAGTTATTATTTAACATATTTTTTTACAGGCTGTTTATATAAAAACTCAACATTGAGCTTTTTAAAACTTCATTATTTGTTTTTGTAGGACCTGGTTGGAACAAAAACCTGTACAGTGCCGGAGCTTGAGGACCGGAGTTGAGAACCACTTCGCTAAATCTTAAACCTGCCCACGTACCAACACACACACATGGTACACAGTGAGCCACATGTACAGCGTAAAACATGGTACGGAGAGATGTTACTCGGCAACCTGGACCACAGCACCAGGCTCTACAGAAGTGTGTACTGTTTTCATATGTATTGACTAGTTTTCATTTTTGTTTTTATTAATTTTGTAAACAATTTCTAAAAAATTAAGACTCGCAAGCAAAACACCCCCCTCCCAAAATACTCTTTGCACTGTTTTCCACTATCTATTTTTATTATGAGCGATCCGACAGTGTATTTTGTTTTTCTATTAGCTAATGTAATAGATCATTAACATCTGCAGTATGTTGTACAAGTATTCCTGTTTGACTCATTGTGATGATTACAAGTCTCCATGTTAAGTCCATGCTTGAAATGTTCTCACAAGTGTCAGGCATCTTGCTATTGACAGGGTCAGAGATGACAGGCTTGTGATTTGTAGTGTACTGCATCTCCATACAGGTTTTTATTACCAAATTACCATCATCACCACTGTAATGTATGTTTTGGGGGGGACAGCTCTCGATACAAAATGTATAACTTCTGAAATTTGCTACGTGAAATATTTTAAAGATACATTTTGGACTGTAAAATATAAAAAAATAAAACAGACTTTTGTATTGACCTAAGTTTTCCCAAATAAAGTTTTTAAGCATAACTACAAAAAGCTGCAGACCAAGGAGCAAAATTGAAAAAATAAAATAAAAAGGTTTAGATATTGAATACACTGGGCTGTCAGTATGATGGCTTTTCCTCATCTTTGTGTCTGTGCTTGTATATTTTTAGGTAGTAATTTCTATAAACATTCTATGTATTCCACCTTTAGAAGTATGGAAAACTCTAATCTAATGTAAAAAAATAAAAGTTAAAAAATTGCTCATTTTTTACCATCCAATGTTTCTGATGGTACAATCATTGAAATAGATCTCCCCTGATGTTTGCAAACTATTTATTTTTCTATGTTTTTTGAAAAGTTCTGTTTTGACTCATCTGTACAATACTCATTACATGGAGAGGTTGTGGGATGTTTAGACGTCATTCATAAAAATGTGTTTTTGTTAAAGCGTCATGAGTCGGTCTGACTAATGATCTTTGATCATCCTGTTTAAAATTCAGATTGACAGCCATTTGCTGCTGTTTTAGGTTTATGGTCTATCTGAAAACATATCAGATGCACTATAATCAAATAAAAGAAAATCCTGCCAAGTCTTGAGTTGTTATTGGTTCCACTTAGTGCGATTGTGCTCTTTTATAAAATGGTTCATGGTTTTTGTCCATGCAAAGGTGAAAAAGCCCCTTATGCAAAACTTTTTTGTGAAAAAAAAAAAACATTTCCCTTAAATGAGAGCTACAGGAAGTAATTGAGGTCAGGCAGAAGCTGCATGTTGACACAAAAATCATAAATACTTGTAATAACACACAAGTCATTTGTTTGAACATGTAAATGGACAATATTTGCAGTATTTCTCTAGAGTCTATATAACATAGACTCTGCAGTACTACTTATACAGTTCTGTTGTGACTGGGCTCATTGAGCAGGGCTCTATACCAAACACTTAGAACTCCCAGAGCAGTCAATGTGAGGGCTTTGTAATTACTCAGTATGTACCTGTGTGGCCTTATGACCTGTATGACTTTGTCTGATTCAGATTTCTGAGTAGTTCTTTTATAAGTGAGTTATTTAGTTATGAATTCGCCTATTTTTGCAATGTGAGTAGTTCTCCCTTTAATGGAAATTTTCGTAGCAGTTAAAGCCCTTTTTTCAAGGGCAAGTTTTTCCCCCTTTCTCAAGAGGAAGTTTTTCAGAATTACATTAATTTGAATACAGTAGTCATAATGATAGCTTTGAGGAATAGAATTGAAGAAATACTACAGCTGACTTAATCTCAAATCCTAGAATTACAAGATTAACCACCCAATTAAGGTGACACTTATTTGCACAGTATTTGCATGAATGTGGCATATTGATTTACTTGGGTACAAAATAAAATGTAGCAAAATAAACAATATTTACGAACAGTATAGGTAATATTTATATTAACGAAACCCAGTTACCAAATTATTATATCTACATGTCCTTTTGTTGTGTCTGTCCCAGTCACTTCCCGACTCCCTTCCAGGACCCTCCCAGTCCCTCCTCTCTGTCTCTCTCTCCCTCCCTCATACACACACACACACACACACACACACACTCTCACACAGAGAGAGAGGCTCTGTTCTTCACAGTCTACTCTCAGTCAAGTTCACAGCAGTGTCTCCACGGTACTGTAACCCTGCTGTTTATGTGCTCCACAGCCATCCGGTCACAGAGGGTGAGTTTGCTTCATTTCTTTCACTAATAAGTTTGTACGGTGATCTAAGTTATCTTTGTTATGTAGTGTAGTACCTTGAAACATGCCACTTTCTCCATATTTGCAAGGTCCTTTAGGATTCTTCATTATCATGATGGAGGTAGTAAGGCTCCATTGACACTGTTGACAAAGCATCAGAGATGTGGGTTTTCTCTTGCACTGCAAAAACTGACTAAAAAAGTTAAGTAAACAAGATTTATCCAATGGGACCAAGTGAAAATTTGCTTGTCTCCTGAAAAAAATATTTCAGTTTTAAGACATTTACGTTTACTAAATTCAAGACAGATGTGTGATTTTCTTTTTGCAGGTTTCTATTGGGAACTAAAGCATTATTATTATGATTTTTTTTTGGCAATCAGATTCTTTTGCCATTTCAAAAACTGATTCAACAAACTATATCATAATAGTTACTATGGCTACTATTCTAACTATTCTGGGCGTATTTTAGCATAATGACATCCCTTTCATAAACAACACTTCAATCGCTGCTTTGTTTCAAACCTTTCCTTCCTCTTGTCCTTTACCTTTAAACCACACAAGCCCTTTAAACAGAAGAACTTGGTCACAATAGTTGTGTCTGTGCTGCCTGTCCTCTCTCTGTGACTCAGACGTCTCAATCTAATATTTTCTGCCTAAAATGGTCAGAGCCGCATGCGTCACTGTGTTGTGTGATGTTTTTTTCTCTGTTTTTAGACGAAATCAGAGCTTTTTGCAATGAGGTGACTGTCTCTGTGCTGTGCCAAACACTGTGGGGACATCTGAGAACATGAGGTGTCTGGGGAGCGAGAGAGCAACAGCAGTGGTGGTGGTGCTGGTGGTGCTGTTGGGCTCAGATGTGGCCTATACTGACCCCTGTGCTGGAGGAGCGGCCCCCCACAGTCTGCAGCAGCCGGAGTACGAGCCCTCCGTGAGACCAGAGGGAGACTTCATGGCTTCATTTGTCCAGTCTTTCCTCCACACGGTGCAGCCCAGGCCATTTCCTGAAGGTTAGTATTACTGCAGAGCTATGTTTAAGAGGAAGAGCGCATGAGGAGGAAAACTATTATGTTGTCAGAGGTATTGTTATTACACGAAATCTTCCCAGAACAGAGAAGAAGAGTTATTTCGCAAAATCACATATCTCAGTTTTTTTAAGATTGTGAAAATAACAAATAAAGATAGAAAAATGAAAAATGAAAGAAAAAAAGTTTCATTCCTATAGTAATGTTGTAAGTAAGTAATATTTATTTATATAGTGCATTTTACAGAGTTTTGTTATTGGCGTTTGAAAGGATTTGCTAAGATGGGTTTAGTTTAATTGCATCAAAATGAATCTGGCTTTCGGAGAAACTGCTTTGTATAGAGAACAATTTGCATTTTGGATTTGCAACAGATATACCAAACTTATTCTAATGTTTAGAAGAAGGAGAGGCTGGGAGTGCTCAGGGGCTCGATGCTGTTAGAAACCGGGGCTCTTCTGATAGGACAGACGCAAAAAGTTCTAGTGCTCTCTTTTTCGTAAAGACATGTTCTAATGTTTATTTGACATTTGACAAAAAGATAAAGGTATCACACTTTGTAAATACGGAACTTTCTGATCAAATGAGTCCACAATATGCAGCCATCATTATAATTACATTTGATCCTGCATGCTTGTTATTCAACAGCCCTGGGAGTCAATATTAGACTTTTTGGTTGAGCAAATAGACACACACTTGACATACAGCTATACTTTAGTGATCCCTGCAGTAGAAATAATCCAAATTCATTAACCCTTGTATTATGTTAAGGGTCAATTTGACCCATTTCAGTTTTTGTGTTGATCAAATTACTGGTTATCTTTTTTTTTTCTTGCTGAAATTTGGTGACTTTTCCTCATCTAGGGTCATGAACTGGTGTGTAAAATCTGGACACTTTGATGTGTAGTGGAATGTCTGTGCAGAGTTTGTATACAAAGATGATGTTGCGGGTCATTTTGACCCTGACGCTTTAATGTGGGTAAATAGTTGTTCAGATCCAAAAAAACATGTCTCTTTGACATTGTGTTTTGATTGCCTCTGAGACCCAGAGCCAGGTGTGTGAAGAGAGGGAACTTTCTCACACTTGTCACTGTTCTTATGTCATCTCTTTTGCCTAGCGTACACCCTACTGGTAACTGATTATATCCGTCGCCTTTGAGTTGCTGCCCCGCACACATCGACAATCTGACGGGCTCCTAGTAGCAGGCCAGTCTGGGGAATACAGCGCGTACATCGACAGAAACTGGCCGTCAACCACAGTGTGTTTTCTGACATAAACTGTAGAGGGCGCACTACATGCAATACACACATGTTGTTGGAGCGCGCACATCGGGTGATATCTCTGGATCTGAGGACAACTAGTTGCCAAAAAGTAGAACACGGGAAACTGACTGAATCCGGAGATTGACAGTTTATCTCCAGTTTTAAGAGCGCTCACATCGACCGATTTCAAGTGATCATCTCCATCCTCTACTCTCAGTCGCCAAAAGCCGCCTTGCAACTAGTTGTCTCCAGTTACTCTGTCGATGTGCGCTAGGCTTTAGACAAACTCACCAAAAATGAGCTCCAGAAGGGTGACATCTGAGGAGGCTTTTTCACATTCATTCACATTTCATTTTTAACTGGGACAATGATGTAGAGGAAGAGATTTCAGAAACAGAGGATTTTTCAGATACAGGACAATGTTGTTGCTGATCCAGATTGTCAATTTTCCTACGATAAGGAGGACTCAGAGGACGAATCTTTGGTCAAGGAAAGAGGAAGGAAGGAAGGAAGGAAGAGAAAAGAAGGGAAAAGAGGAGGATGAACAGAGAGAAGGAAAACAGGATGAGAAAAAGGAAGGAGAAAGCATGGCAGGAGGAAAGAGGGAGGGAAGAATTGTCATTTTGACCCGAGAGGAGGACACGAATATTAGACTAAATATTTCTTAAATATAACATTGGAATTAAAAATTTATTGTATGTCACTTTTCAAAATATTTATATCAAGTTGTTATTGGTTTAATCTGTTTTCTTGACTGTTTTGAGTGAATTTACACAGTACGGGTCAAAATGACCCGCAACATAATCAATGTCATTTTTTTTCAACATAATACAAGGGTTAATTCAGCAGCAAAAAAGACATTTCCATCAGTCCCACATTTGAAGGTTTTAAAAGACATAAAGTACTAAATAATATCTCTATACTTCACCTACTTTCATCTGTAAATTCTGATATAAGGCTGTGCTATAGGGCAATTTTTGGGGTAAACTAGTGATCACTAGTTACCAGTAAATGGCTTTTAATACACATTTCCAGCTTTTGAAGTTGGGAAATCAGAGATGCCAGCTTTAAGTTAAGGCCTAAATAACTCACTTCCTCTAATATTGTATTTGCCCCATTGTCCAGTGTCTAACAAACAGGTGCTGGGCCATTGTCCTTTTTCCCTCTTAAACCCTTAAAACACTGTGGCTTTAACATAATGTTCTCAAGAAACTCGTTTAATGGGATGGTGAGGTTTACATATTGGTTTGACATTTGTTCAGGGCAAATACAACCTATGACTGATGGCTGTGCAGGCTAATGTGTACTTCAATGGCATTTTTTTTAACCTGGTCAATATTTAACACTTTATTGCTAAGGCCTGTTTCCACCAAGAATCCCCTGGAGTATCACTTGTGTTGGAATGCAATAGTGTCATGTTTTTGTGATTCATTCAATCATTGCATGAGTCTGAATATACTGTACATGACAATGCTAAGCTATTGTATCATTCTCCAGATCATACTCAATAAGAAAACTATTATTGAAATGAGATAGTTGGTAGTCTCACATTGGAAACATGACTGTGGAAGTGAGAAACAATATTTCCTGGAATTTATCAGAAATCCATGTTTCGTTCTACAGACACACAAAAACATTGTGTGTTTAGTCTTTTGTCTTTTGATATACAGTATAATAACTACTTTCTGAAATAACTGGGAATGTTTTGTCTCAATTTATTTCTTCAGAAAACTGTTAAAAATGTATAATCGATTATCACTGGGGTAAATATTGAGTTTATTAATTATTAGCATCAGGTTTGAATTGTTAGATACTTTTTTCTGTGTCTAACTCAAAATATGACAACAGTTTGAAGAGACTATTTCATAATTTGTTGTTTGGTTTGATACTGTTTGGTCTGTTTGAGTCCTAAAGCCACTCCAAAACATATTTAAAAGTGTGCTAGTGGCAAAAAACATCATTACAAATCACACGCTGACATACAATAGCAAATATGTCAACGTGCGGTAAATCTTGTTACAGCTTGTCAGACTTTACTCCAGCAGTGAAAATAGTAGATAATATTTCAAGTACAATCTTTGCTCTTAATCAGGGAATAGAAAGAAGAGAAACGAGTCCTCAACATCTCAAACTGAACGCACTCAAAGGTACTGAAGCAACAAGACTGGGCCATTACAGCGGGAACGTCCATTAAACAAATATTTGCACAATCTTGGTCATCTATTGAGGCTTACGCACGCAGAAACACCTGACCGCTATTACTGTGCTCCACCTCTTTTGTCAACATGTGCACAGAGTTTCAGAAGGAGCCTTTGTTTTGTGGCCATTTGTTCAAAAATATGCTATACTCCTCAATCTGGCATGTCTTCGTGTTACCTGTGTGGTTTCGCATTTCAGCTTTTTCAATGAGGATAATGGAAATGCTTGTTTGGAGCATTGTCAAGCTTTGTGCGTGGATATAATGCCCAGATTCATGGGCTTTACTCATGCTATGTCAGATGTTTCACTTTTCTGTTCTCATTTCAGATCTGGTTCTGGAGATTGTGAAAGACGGTGGTAAGGCGAATCCGGAATTTATCAAAGATGTAAGTGACACTATTTGAAGAAGGTGTTCATTTTCCCCTTAAGCCAGAAATATGAGGCTGTTTCATGTTTTTAAGTCTGACAATGAAGTGAAACTGCAGAACAAACTCTTCTCCATCGTACAATTATCAAATTGAAAACCCATAATAAATCTTCATTATAGCACCATATTGCTTAAGGTGACACATGTCCTGATAAAGATGTTACCTCAGCATCAAAACAAATCTATTCCATTATTTTACAGAGCAATAGTTTTAGCAAATAGATTCAGATTCAGTTCAGATTCAGTTTATTTGCCATTTGCAGTAAAAACACCACATTGGAATACATTAGCAAAAGTCACCAGTGTGCACAGACAAATACAGACATAAAACAACATTAAAAGACAAAACTAAAACAAATAATCTTATCTTATCTTATCTTTTTATTTATATACCGCCTTTTCACTGCAGATCTGAGTCTCAAAGCGGTTTACAATAAAACAGTAAACAAATGTCACTGTGAAATCGATCGACTAAAACAGTTTCAAAACAAGTGCAAATCATTAAAGTGCTCTGTTCACACTGATAACAGCTTGTGGATAAAAACTGTTAGCATAACGAGATGTCCTGCATCTCAGAGAGCGATATCTTCTGCCAGAGGGAAGAAGCTGGAACATGGCTTTCCCAGGGTGGCCAGAAGAGTCATTGACAATCCTAAGAGCTTTGTTTAAAAGTCTGGATTTGTAAAGAACCTCCAGAACAGGAAGCTCACAGCCCACGGTCCTCTTTGCAGAGCAGAGCACCTTGTTTAAAGCTCTCTTTTCTTCATCTGTGATGTTTCCAAACCACACAGACACAGAACCAACAAGTAAACTCTCAATGGTGCAGCGATAAAAGTTAAGCAGAATCTTAGAGTTAGTGGTAAATTCTCTAAGTTGAAAGAGAAGAATTTGTAAATATGTAAAAGTGTCCATTTCTTCTGACATATACAGTAATGTCAATCTAGGCATTCTGTGGCTCTAAACAAGTTTGTGCTTATGTTCCAAATATAATGAAGCGAACAATTCTCAAATCTCAAGTTTGGGATATTTAGTCACCCATCTTAAGAGATTTTACTTTTGTGGCCGAGGAAATTTGAAGTTTGAATATTGATTTTACTGGACTAAAATAACCTGCCATGAAACTTCTAACTGGACAAACCTAACTCACTCAACCAAAACAATAGTCTTGAATGTCCACTATTTTACACGCTTTCTATTTGTTCTAAACGTCCAAAGAGGGACACAAATGTCTAACGAAATAATTATTGTAAATCCATAAAAATAATGAATGCAGAATTCGAGAGCATGTTCACTTGGGGATTATGTGTCACATCTGTTCACAACTGTTCCTAACAATGACATCAACGTTCGAAATGATGACATCACTGATAAATAATGTAAAGTAACCAGTGGATGCATGTTCACTTGGTTTTAGTTTTACATCTCCACAAATGAAGCCTTTCCTGCTCTATGTACTAAAAATCGTCGTTGCATTTATTCCTATGCTCATAGGTGCTGAGGTATGAAATAGGGTTCCTGGTCTGTGCAGCCATTGGGATCTTGTACATCGTGCTTATGCCCATAGTTGGCTTGTTCTTGGCGTGCTGTCGCTGCTGTGGAAACTGTGGAGGCAAGATGCACCAGAAACAGGCCTCCTCCATTCACTGTCGCAGGCGGACGCTCTACTGGGCCACATTCGTCACCACTGTCATCATACTGTGAGGCTTCGGCAGTTGGCGTCACATTTTTTTACAAGAGTTACTTTATCCTTGTTGTCCAATGGTTTCATTTGTCTTTTCAGAGCTGGGAACATTTGCATGTTTAGAAGCAACGAGGCGTTCAAAGTGAGTGTAGACAAGAGCACAGTGGAGCTTAATAAAGCCATCAACAACATCAGCACTTTCATCACAGCTGTGCCACAGGTGAGTTTGGGATCTGGCAAATCTAGCTGCTAGTTCCATCACAGGACCTTATGTATGTCTTAGAGGTCTAATAAAGTCAATACATTTACAATCCCACTTTTGTTGCCAGAAGTGTTCTATCGACATGTAGATCCTTTTAACTTAAAACAGTGTCATCTCTGTGTATTATCTATGACTACTTTACTTTACTCATCCATCCATCCATCCATTTTCTTCCCCTTAATCCATTTCTGGGTCGGGGGGTGGCAGTCAGAGCTGCACCCAGTACACATAGCACCAGCCCCTCACTGATCCTCCTGCAGGTGGTGAGTCCACAGGAGCTGAGATTTTTCAGTGGGGGCTTTAGGCAAAGTGGGGTTAAGTGTCTTGCACAAGGACACAACGACAGCAGACATCAGTGGGAGTCGTGCAGTAGGTCTTACGGTGGGCTCGAACCCATGACCTTCTGGCCCAAAGGCCTGTGAATAACACTTTACTAATGCACAAAACAACGAACCTTTGAGAAGAACGAGTGGAAAGAGTCATTTTTGTATCAGAAGATTAGTGACTACAAGGACACCTCTGCGTCAGTGTTTAGAGTACACACTCCCCTATAGTTCATTCTACTGATTACACACAACCTCAGCAGTGTCAACACAACTATCCTATCTCTTAAGTGAAGTGGGGAAATGTTAGACAGGAAAACAGTTATAAAACCTCATTTTTCATGGAATATTCCAGATTTTGTTCATACCTGTTGTTCATGTTACTGTATACACTTTCACATCTTATCTTCAGCAAGTCCAATTTGTGGTCAACGAGAGCTACGCCACCATCCAGGAAGTCAGCAATAACCTAGATGGTAAGAATGAACTCATTTAGAAATAATTGTGTTGGCCTGTGTTTGAGAATCAACCACATTTGACTTATTCACTTCAGGTATTGGGCTCCAATTGGGAAGTTCATTTCAGAAAAAATTCGAGGCGAAGTTTACTCCAGCTCTTCACTCTCTTGATATCATGGACCAAGGTATTGCACCAACAAGCTGAGTCCTGCACCAGTCGACATGCAGACGCACGAGAGATCCATTATTACAGAGGCTATGTCACAGACCTGTCTGCGCAGATGATACACGCACATCTGCCCATCTTTATACATGCAGGCATTTACATAGATCTGACTTGTAACCTGGCTTGATGGTTGTCTTCATGGGTTAGAGATTTTTTATTTTATTTAGTGTGGAGTTATTGTTCATTTATATTGTGCTGTGCGCTATTCATTCCTATTGTTCTGTAACTGGTGATGCAACACTGACATTTCCCCACTGTGGGACAAATATAAAGGATCTCTCCATCTTAATCTTAATAACCTCTCCATGGAGACTAAAGCAAACAACACTGTGAACACTATGGCTTAAAGTCAATTTTCAAAGTCAATTACTGGTTAGACCCGCCCATGCTCACTCCTCAGCTTCCTGGTTGGAATTAATTTAACTGCTTGATTGAGCGTTTAATTGAGTTTTATCTGTCAGCTCAATGAATATGAGACTATTATAATCATAAGCCTGACAAACATGAAATTCAGTGCCAGTCAGTACCAGTCTGAACTATGGAGACACTGGTACAGCTGTTCGCTCTTAGAAGCGAGGCTTATTGTTGTGATCTTATGTGTTGTTTTGTGTAGATGTATTCTGCAGTCTGTAAAAGGGCTGTGGCTGTAAAGTGCCTTACTGCCGTTGTGTCTATACGCAAGACACTTCACCCACATTGCCTAGAATGAGCCTAGTGGGTGTATGAATGGTTGGTGGTGGTTGGAGGGCCCGATGGCACATAGTGGTTGCCTCGCTTCTGTCAGTGTGCCCCAGGGCAAAATCGTTATATAAAACCGATCCATTATTATAATTATATAATAACGTTTGATGATGACGATGATGAGCGTTCTCCCCATGGGTGTAAATGCTCCTCCAGAATATCTACAGTTATGCCATGACGGGGGACTACTCTCAAAATATTACTTGCATTCAAAAAATACTTGTCAAGATCCATGTGGTCGAGAATATGCATTGGTTTTATCAACTTCCACTGTACATCTTTGATTTGAGACCACCACATAGTCACACCGTTCTCTACATTAGTATGGGATGGGTACAAAGAAGTCTTATCTCATTTTAAATGATTTTAAAAGGGGTTTTGTTTGGTATAGTATAAACAACATTACAAAATATGAACCTAAATACTAATACTATGTAAAAAAGGGAGGCACCAACAGCTTTAAGGCAGTTCACTTTCTCTTTCGTCCTCTTTCTGCTTGGTGTGTGTCATTTGTTTAGCTTTGTGTCACATGCAAATGCTTGACTTTCTGTTGTATTTGCATAACATACATGTGCCATTCACCTGTAGTAATCATATGAAATACTGTAGTAATTGTATGAAAGTGCAATAAGGTAATTTGGCAATTCCTCTGGTAACTTTACCTGCCATTCCTTTATTCTGTCCATGTCTGCTGCTATTAGTTGTAGCCATCACTATTTACTCATTTGGAAACCCCCTGCTAATGGTATATGTGTCTACTTACTAAAAGCAAGGCCATTATCATTTGTATCACACAGTTCATACACAAGGCAGCTCAAAATGAACTGTTTTTAACCTACATTTGAAAATTTTCCTGTCCTACATTTTCAGGAAGACGAGCTGCCTCCCCATATTCAGCCCTAAACGTGCACAAACATGCTCATCCTGTGCCAGATTTATACTTCAGCTCAGATTTTTAAGCATTAATGTTTGAATAATTCTGCATTTTCACTCAGTTTGTTATGGTGTGAATCTTACAGTGATGTGCGCTGCAACACTGACATTTCCCCACTGCGGGTTCTCTTCTCTTAAACAGAGGTCGTAAACAACAGTGTCCTTCTGAACAAGCTCAACACATCTCTGACCCGTTTGGAGTCCAGTTTCAGCACGATCCAGAGAGACATTGATGCAGTTAAGAAGCAGATCAACAAGACCTTATCCGAACCCGACTGCACGAACTGTGCCAGTGTCAGACCTGAACTGAACGCACTCACCGTGGACACTTCCATCAGGGTGAGAATCTCTGCACACACAAGATCGCAAACTTACTTGATGGCGAAAACAAATGCATTTTGATTCTGGGTTATATACGCAGTCTATGGTTATACAGTACCATATTTTCAAACACAGACATTTCACAAAGAAATCCATCTAATTACCGGTTGGATTCAATCCTTCAGCTTTATCAGAGAAGAGGTGAAAAAGAGAGAAGTGTTAAATAGTGACACATAGGGATTTTTTTTACTTAGGTAAAAGATAAAGAACAAAAAAATATATATTTATAATCAAACATTAAGAGCGGTACCCTTACTTTCCAGCCCTATGATCTAGTGCCGACCGATAGGAGAGGGCCAGACTTTACAGCAACAATGTGTCGCCCTCTTGAGGTAAAGCGGTGCATGACCTTTTTTTTCTTCTCTTCAGACTTCAAGTCTCGATGAGCTGCAGGCCGCAATGAACGAGATTATAAAAGCTGATCTCAAGTCTAAGATAAAAGAGGTAAAAAGAACAAAACAAGAAACATGAGACATGTGTGTATTTAATTCAATGCGTGTTTGTGTGTTTCAGATAGAGGAACAGTTCAAAAACATCCCAGGAAGTGTTGCCAATGACACAAGAGAATTTGTTCGAAGTCAGTCTCGGATCTTGACAATTAAAATGTATTTTAAAAAATGAAGCATGAATTAAGTGCGTCAACATTATGATTTGTATTTTTAGCCAGCAAGACTCAGCTGGAAGAAATCAAAGGTCAGATTTCCAAAGTGACCACAAAGCTCCCATTGTCTGGTCTCAATGATGTTCTGAATCAGCTGGAGATGGTTCAGGGAAGCATCGACACATACACTCCTGAAGTGGAGAATGCAGAGTACATTAGGTAATTCTTCAGTATTACAGACTATAATTTACACTAATAGTGTTTTACCCAGGTCAAGTAGGTTTTACCTGTCCATGCTCACCCCTCAGCCACCTGATTTATACAATATATACATTATTTTAAATGCTTGATTGATGCTCTATCCCCCTTGCTCTAATTATGCTCCTCCAGCAAGTCTTGGGTCATGCCATGGGGAGTACTGCTGTACTGCAGTTTGTCTGTCTCCTCAAATAAACCAAACAATTATTTCTGTGACCAAAATATGATTCCTCTTTTTCTAGTTGTACTCATTGACGTACATACCATCCTGTGCCAGTTTACTCTGCCAAAGAAAATGGTCTTTATTTACAGCCGTCTCCATACTGAATTGTGTTTTCCAGGTGGTGTGTGTGCCTCACTCTCTGCTGTGTGGTTCTGTGGGTGGTGCTCTGTAACATTCTGGCTCTGGCGCTGGGTCCTCTGGGTCTGAAGCCCAAAGTGGAACCCACAAAGCGCTCATCTACGTCCAACTGTGGAGGAACCTTCTTCATGATGTCAGTTTTCTTTTGCTACATAAGACACTTTTATCTGTCGTATAATGTTTATTAAACTTGGATTTATGTCTATGCAGCAGCGCTGGCTTTAGCTTCCTTATTTCCTGGCTGTTCATGCTTTTGGTGTTGATCCTCTTCCTGATTGGTGGGAACGCCTACACGTTGATGTGTAAAACATGGAGAGATGGGGAACTGCTCAAGGTACATATGATATACTCTTCTTTAATATAAAGCACATACAGGCCAAAGCTTTTTCTTTTTCTTTTCACTCATTGTGATTATGTGAAGCCCTTCTTTTTGAAACAAATGTGTTTTGTCTATATTAAAATTATAGTGACAAGAAACTACCAAAATGACCCTGATCAGAAGTTTCCATCCCCCAGTTCCCTTTAACATCTATGGCATTGGAGTATTTTGTGGTATTTGTGGAGAAGGTTCTTCTCTTATTAGGCCCGAGCCCCGAACGGGGTAAGGGCCTATTGCTTTCACAATGGTGAAAACAAATGGTGGCGGTGCGTGACGGACGCGTCAGCGCCCGTCACTCGCCAAAACGTGACGGTTGCGTGCGTAAACTCAAAAGCTTTAAAATGATGTATCACGTGCCATTGAAACCTATATTGTTTTTGCTCGAGACGTCGAAAAAAAAATTCCTTTTTTAGGCCCGAGCCCCGAACGGGGAAAGGGCCTATTGTTTTTGCTCGAGAGATGTCAAATTCTGCACTTTGAGCCTTAATTTCACCCCCTGAACATGCATGAAAAGTTGTAAAATTTTGACCAAACATCAGACCTGGCGAAAAATTTGATATTTTGGTGTTTATTTTAATGGGACTCAAAAAATGCCGGAACAGCGCCACCTACAACAGCCAAAATAATACCCCTATGGGACTTTTAGAGATCAAGTTTGTCGTAGAGCCATGAAATTCGGTACACATGTTCCTATAGTCAAGACAAGAAAAAAAATATTATTATGGCTCCACCCCCTGACAAACAGGAAGCCCAGAAATTTCACTGCAAAATGGCAAAATGAACAGCAAAAGTTTTCATACATGTTTGTTGGAAAGCGACTCCTCCTCGGCCGTTTCACCGATTCGCCTCAAAATCGCTCCACATCATCTCAACACATGTACCTTCAAAATGACCTCAGGGATTTTTGATTAGTGAAACATTGTTTGAGCAGCGGAGCGGCAAAATGTGACCTTTTTTGGCCGTTTTTGACAACATAAAATTTGCTCCCGTTTGCACAAACAATACATTGTTCAACTCTAGGGTCTAGGTCATTTGAAAGTCAAATGATTCAAATTGACACAATATCGCCCCCTACAGACTATTTCAAAATTTTAGATGGGCATTTTCAAATTTAGTTTCTTCAAAATGTTTGAAATTTTGCACAAAAATCTGTTTTGCCCTCTTGATTCATAAAGTCAATAGGGTCCAAGGCTTATTTTTTACCCTGTTGCCGTGGCGACGACAAACGCTCCCCATTCATTGCAAATGTACACCTCACACAAACATCAAACCAGCCTCGGCCGTTTCACCGATTCGCCTCAAAATCGCTCCACATCATCTCAACACATGTACCTTCAAAATGACTTCAGGGAATTTTGATCCGTGAAACGTTGTTTGAGCAGCGGAGCGGCAAAATGTGAGGGTTTTTTTGGCTCTTTTTGACAACATTAATTTTGCTCCTGTTTGCACAAACAAAGTCTGATTTGCACAAAACTTGAATCCATTGTTCAATTCTAGGGTTTAGGTCAGGTTAAAGTGAAATATTGGAAATTGGCCCATTAGCGCCCCCTACAGACTGTATCAAAGTTTACATGGGGAGCCAAACCAGCTCTACTTATCATATTCATTACAATTTGACTAACATTCTTCTATGGCTACGGACACAAATCATCACACGGCGGGACCACCTCCTTTTAGCGGTGCTGCGTGGTACGGTGTGGTGCGGCGTAGTGCGGGGCGTTGTGGAGCGGCGCTTTGCGGCTTGGTGCGGGGCGGCGTGGTGCGGGGCGGCGTGGTGCGGGGAGTGCGCGCGGTGCAGGGAGTCGCGCGGTGCGGCGAGGGCCGTTCGACGCCGCTTGCGGCTTTAATTATTTATTAGGCCCGAGCCCCGAACGGGGTAAGGGCCTATTGCTTTCACAATGGTGAAAACAAATGGTGGCGGTGCGTGACGGACGCGTCAGCGCCCGTCACTCACCAAAACGTGACGGTTGCGTGCGTAAACTCAAAAGCTTTAAAATGATGTATCACGTGCCATTGAAACCTATATTGTTTTTGCTCGAGACGTTAAAAAAAAAATTCCTTTTTTATTTATTAGGCCCGAGCCCCGAACGGGGAAAGGGCCTATTGTTTTTGCTCGAGAGATGTCAAATTCTGCACTTTGAGCCTTAATTTCACCCCCTGAACATGCATGAAAAGTTGTAAAATTTTGACCAAACATCAGACCTGGTGAAAAATTTGATATTTTGGTGTTTATTTTTATGGGACTCAAAAAATGCCAGAACAGCGCCACCTACAACAGCCAATGGGAGTTTCAGAGGTCAAGTTTGTCGTAGAGCCATGAAATTCGGTACACATGTTCCTCAAGTCAAGACATGAAAAATATGTTATTATGGCCCCGCCCTCTGACATACAGGAAGCCCATAAATTTCACTGCAAAATGGAAAAATGAACAGCAAAAGTTTTCATACATGTCGGTTGGAAAGCGACTCCTCCTCGGCCGTTTCACCGATTCGCCTCAAAATCGCTCCACATCATCTCAACACATGTACCTTCAAAATGACCTCTCCACACAATAAGTCACGGACGCCAGGATGGGTTTTTTGACCTTTCCGTTTATATGGCAGGTGTGAAACTGTAAACACAAAATACATGTACATGAGTACAAAATGTAAAATACAAGAGCAGCACGCTTTGTAGCTAACATTACCTCAAATGCTACTAAACAAACATGGCCTAATTAAACTGTAAATAGTTCATTTTTGTGCCTCCTATAACTTTTAAAAACACACATCTTAATTAATTGACCTAACTTAATCAACTTAACCCATACATACTTACAGGGAATGCCTTTTAAGAACTCAACTGAAAAAACACGTCTTTCCCAGCACACTTTCAACTGGCAATGGCAAGCGTAAATTTCCATGGCAACAAGGTGGCAGCAACAGGCGCCTTTTCTTAAAGGGCCAGTGCTCTAAACCAGCAAACTATGACAAAGATAAATAGACAAGTCAGAACACTCCCCGTCTGGTATCTTAGGATACCACAACTTAAACATCACTAGATAATAAGAAAACCATCTCTGAAATAGGTCGGTAGTAGATTTTCACAGTCCCTTGGGAGGCTACTCTAACCTCAGCCTTCCTAATGACCCCATCTTCGCTTGGAACAGTTTTTGTTATTACACCCATTGGCCACTCGTTTCTTCTTGTTTGTTTGTCCTTAAGTAACACAACGTCTCCGTCTTTGATGTCCTTGTTCTTGCGATGCCACTTTTGACGGATTTGGAGGCCGTGGAGATACTCCTTGCGCCATCTGCTCCAGAATGTGTCCGCAAGGAACTGCACACGTCTCCAGTGGCTCTTGAGCATTTCTTTTGGATCGATAGAGTCACAGATAGGGTACACAGCTTGTGTTTTTTGTGTCAGGAGCATAGCAGGCGATAGAATGTAGGGATGCTCTGGGTCTGACGATACTGGTAAAAGAGGACGTGCATTTATTATGGCCATGACTTCTGCAAGAAATGTGGTAAGGATTTCGTGACTGAGTTGTATACGACCAGCTTGCAGCAGCATGTTGTCGAGTATCCGGCGCGCCAAACCGATCATCCGCTCCCATACTCCCCCCATGTGGGATGAATGGGGTGGGTTGAAGACCCAGGTGCACTTCTGATTCTGCAGGAAGTTTTGCACTTTGTCCTTCTCCGGTGCGTGTTCGTTTATTTCATTGTGAGCTCCGATGAAGTTGGTTCCGCAATCTGAGCGCAACTGTTTTGCAGGACCCCGCACAGCAAAGAAACGTCTCAGTGCATTTATGAAACTTGAAGAACTAATTTCCTCCACTACTTCAATGTGGACGGCTCTTGTGCATAAGCATGTGAACAATATTGCCCAACGTTTACTATTTGCTTGTCCCCCTCTCGTTCGCCTGGTGGTTACCTCCCATGGGCCAAACATGTCCATGCCCACATAAGAAAAAGGAGGCTCTGCTTGGAGTCTGTCCACAGGCAGCTCACTCATAATTTGCTCTTCAAACTTTCCTCTCAATTTTTTTGCATGTTACACATTTATTTATGACTTTGCCAATGCATCTTTTTGCTCCCACAACCCACAGGCCACTTTCCCGGACAGCGCCCTCTGTAAAATGTCGTCCCTGATGATTCACACTTTCATGATGGTGACGCACAAGGAGGGTCGTGATGTAGTGACTTCCTGGTAGGATAATGGGGGTTGTTTCCTTTACTCCCAGCCCTGACCGACTAATACGACCTCCGACTCTGAGCAGCTCGTCTTCTCCTAGGATGGGATTGAGCTTCACTAGCGGGCTGTTTTTTGGGAGATTCTGTTTTTCAGTGATGCATTTAATTTCGTTTGCATATGTCTCACGCTGAATATTTCTTATTATGATATTCTCTGCATGTTCTAACAGTTCAATGGTAACAGCTTTTTTACAAATGTGCCATCCCTTACATTCCGTTTGAGGTTGAGAGAAGCATTGCGCGATGTGAATCAAATTGGAAATAGCTCTGCGAAGGGAGGACCATGAGGAGAAGCGTTCCCAGCGTTCTGAGCCCTTTGAGATGCTAGTGCAAAGTGTCTTTACCTCAGGACGCACATCTGTGTCATTGTCTGGGTCCTGCAGTTCAAGCACAGGCTGCTCTTGGATCTCTGAGGAGTGCTGCAGGAAGGATGGACCTGTGAACCATGTGGTATTTTGTATGTCAGCGGCTGGAACAGAGCGTGAGCCATGGTCAGCAGGGTTCTGGTCTGTGGTAACAAAATGCCATTGCTCTGGATTTGTTGACTCTCTAATACGACGCACACGGTTATTCACATACACATAAAAACGCCTGGACTGGTTGTGGATATAACCTAGGACCACCTTGCTATCTGTGTAGAATCTGGCTTTGTCTATGGGAAGGTCCATCTCTTCAATTATGTGCTCTGCCATTTCAACCGCCATCACCGCGGCGCAGAGTTCGAGTCTAGGGACCGTGAGCTCGGGCTGAGGAGCGAGCCGTGCCTTACCTAGGACAAACCCAACCTCTGTTGTGCCATCTTCAGCCGTAACCTTGAGATAGGAGACTGCACATATTGCTTTCATGGATGCATCTGA